AAATAATAAATATACAGTAAAAATATATTACTATATATCAGGCTAATAATGTAGGCTTCAAAATTAATTAATAAATTAAAACAGTGTGACAAGTTTTGTAGACAAAGACATTATCTAATGAAATCCTCAATTGGCAAAATTAGCGAAGGTCTTGTGCTCTCTAGCTTACACGCAAAATCTTAAGATATAAGATTTTCTTAATTTCTTGTCATCATCACTACTGCTGATTTAGATTAATATGTTAATATATATAAAATGTTGATGTGATAAGATGATTGACATGCATGGAATCACATTAATTAACCTTTTCCATTTCTATGTGCAGTGCATGGATGACGATTGAGCTAATTAAGAACTTTACATGCCATTATTACAACTTTTCACTCAAATTAAATAAATTTATATATATTGTTGATTAGTAAAGATTATTTTAGTTTAGATTAATGAGTTAGATCCATATAAAGATTATTTCAAAAAAAAAAAGTGACAAATCAATTACTAAAGTGATTATGTTTGTTAAGTGTTTATGTGTCATCAACTATATAATACACAAAATTTATGTTCATAATATACATAATTTATTTATTTATATTTATAATACACATAATTCATGTTTATTATATTGTATTTATATATATGTGTATTATGAACATAATTTCTGTGCTTTATAAACATGAATTATGTGTATTAAACCATGATCCACAATATAACAATTGACTTTCCGTACCTTCTCCTTCAAGTCCAATTATCTTTTAACCCCATATTCAAATACCTCATCAATTATAAATTCTAGCATTTAATAAATAAATTAAAAGTGTCATATGAAAAGCTTCACCATAGGTGTATGCGCACATACTCATATTTAATACTATATATTTAGGGGATGTTTGGTTCATGGAAAATGTTTTCCAAAGGAAAATATTATTCTTAAAGTGGAGGAAAATGTTGTTTTCTGCGTTTGGTTCATGAAATTCATTTTTCATTAGAAAATGAATTCCTCAAATTTGAGGGAAACAAAATCCTTGGTTAGATTAAGATTTTTGTTTTCCATGGGAGATGGAAAGAAAAAGTGTTATGGATTACCTATTTTACCCTTGTTTTCTTTTTTAATATAATTATATTACTCTTATTAATTTGTAGGAACATATAGGTCTTTATACTCATTATTCCTTACAATTCCAAATCTAACCAAACAATAGAATTAGTATTCCCAGTAATTCTGTTTCCACCAACCAAACAATGAAATTCATCTTCCTAGTAATTGTTTTTCCATGGAATTTCAATTCCACTTCCCTTAAAATATTTTTCGCGAACCAAACTAATCCTTAAAAGGAAACAAGAAATAATAAATTTGAACTCCAAACTTAAAGGTCTCTCACTCTGCTTCTATCATGTAAACTAGTGAATGAAGTAAATCATGATACGTTTTAATTGCTTTACAAGCTAAGCTGCAAAATATTTTTACACTAAAGTGAAATATTTTTACACTAAAGTGGAATAAGAAATGATTGTGAAACAAGATTAGTTAATTTTTAAGAAAAAGAAAAACCCACAAGGATATGATATTGCAAGAATGATAATTAATTAAGCTTGGGTCCCTAATCATCTTATCCTATCCAAATCATTTAGTTTGACGAATATATGTATCGGATCATGTGTGTCAATATATACTCCATGATTAATCTCAAAAAAAAAAAAAAAAAACAAAAAAAAACAAAAAAAAACGTATCTTTAATTTGGTGATAATGCATGGTGTTCATATGTGGTTCACAGATGTAAGAGACAAAATGAATTAAAGACAATACTGAGTGGCAAACAAACAGGAATTAGGTTGCGAGTATTATTCATATCTGTTGATTATGAATATATATCTTCTCCCACTAATGCTTGCCGATTGATTTTACATTTCAAAGAAAAATATTCTTAATTCAATATTTAATTATATAAAATGTTAAGAATCTCATTAGTAATGTTTTTGTCATGTATTGTTTATTAATTGAATGAAATTAAATGAAAAGAAAAGAAAAGAAAAAAAGAATGATCACTTCTCCTCCTTCTATCAATGATTAATATAATTGTCATGTTATGAATCATGTAAGGAGTAAAATGTTAATTGGAATCATTTATAGCATATTCTTTAATTAATAATTATAAAAAGATGCAATTTCGGTTATTATTGAGTTATAAGAAGGTAACAATAACAGAGTCAGTAAGTGTGTTATAAATGTTACTACTTTTAGTTAATAATTAAGTTATTATTGAAGTGCATCCATTCATTCCATTTATTACTAGGTTTGTCAAAATTGATCTTTACATTTGAGAAAGTCTAGTTGACTAGTGGAATGAAACTATACTAGCAGTTTTTAAGTAATAAATTAGGATGAATCCAAGATGATAAACAAGATGTGAAATTTCATTACTAGCTTTAACCAGTTTTTTTAAGAGTATCAATTAATTTTAACAAATTTACTAATAGAGAAATTGAATGTGTCATGCATTTTTGTGATAAACATGACACAACAGAAATTCTCAATCATTGCTCGAAGTTTTCTTAATTGCATGCATATTATTATTATTATTATTATTATTATTATTATTATTATTATTATTATAATAGTATACTCTCAAGATGCTAGGGCTTAAACATATTAACAAGGCGTTTGGTTGGAAAGAAGGAATTCCTTTTTCCTTTCCTTTTTATGAATGAATTGCAATTCATATGGGAGGCAATGAATTGCAATTTCATCCAACTAAACAATGCAGTTTCTCCTTTCAAAGAATTACATTGACATTGAATTTCAATTCATGCCAACCAAACACCACAATAATAATAATATAATATGAATGGGGCGCGGTGGTTTTGGCCAATGAACTACTACGTATTATTTGAAAATAAGAATATCATAAAATTATTATAATTTGATGATTTGCAACAAATTATTTGTTATGAGAACTTATAATAAGTCCATACTTAATCCTTTGTCTATTTAAAATATAATGATTAAGAACAAATTTAAGTCTCAGCAACTGTAATCATTAAATTGTCTTATGTGTTGTTAGGTTTAAGAGCCAATGAGTAGTTGAGTCTATGCTAAGAGTCTGTAATTCGAAAGTTAAGGTGAAGGAGGAGTGATTAAGTGATAGGAGGCAGATGGCGCACAATGCATGGGTATGATGGGCTATAGGTTTGGTTGATGATTGGCCTTGTGTCACGTACTATAAGAACAATTAAATTAAATAGGGCAAATTATATACTGCATCAGGGCATCCTGACCCAAAACGATGTTGTTTCTATAAGTTGGGAGAGTTGACGTGACGGATATCGTTCCGTACGTCTAATCCTGTTACAGTTTTATTTTATTTTTTATATTTATGTGTATTATGATAAGAGTTTATGTATATTATGTATTATGTTATGAGTTTATGTGTATTCTACTATACAATTTTGTATATACGAAACACAAAATTTTTTAGGGCGTATAATGCATTCTGCGTCCTGATGCTCAATATAAGGATTGATTAAATAGTAACATGGAAGTTTGTACAGGCATGTACTACGATGTTACTGGCTAAAGAAGTAAAGAGTGTATAGATGTCAAAATAAACAATAATATAGTAAGGAGTTACGGACAGGCCCAACTTTTGGCTTGTGCTCCCAGGCCCAGACACAGGGTCCCAATATTTGGCGCCATGGCGAAATGGATTAACAACTCTCAACATTATTGGGGGTCTTACTAAAAAAAGAGAGAGAGTTATACTCCGTAATATATAACAATATTATGTCTGCATATGTTTCATGTTATTATAATTGTTTAATATTCATTGGTTTTCTTGTATGAAAAATGTTAAGTAACTAACTCAAAGTATAGAAATTCAAAAGAACCATTCAAAATTTCATTATAGGATTTTACTTTTATATATATATATATATATATATATATATATATATATATATATATATATATGACAAAAACTTGTGTGAGACCATCTCACGGGTTCTTATCTTAAAAGAATAAGGTAGGAATTCAAATTACATTGTTTGATGAGTATGAATTGAATTATTAGGGATGAGAAGGAAAAAATGGTATAAAGACTAAAATGTCCTTGTATAATAGTAATAATAATAACAATCAACGAGGGTATTTTTGTCATTTCTTCAATTTTTTCCTTTTCCAAACGCATTGAATTGCAGTTCATGGGGTTACCCCATGAATTGCAATTTAACAAAAGGAGGAAATGAATTGCAATTCCCACCAACCAAAGATTGTAATTGAGGCCTTCATTGAATTACAATTCAATTACAACTAAATTACATCCAACAAAAAAAAAAAAAAAAATCCAAACAAACGCCTTGTAAGGGTTTGTTTGGTTGAATGTAGTTGTGATTCAATTACCCCCAAATTACATTGTTTGGTTGGAGACTTGGAGATAATTACAATTCTACCGAATTACAATTTCTCGTTGTAGTTGAATTGCAATTAAATGGATGCCTTAATTACATTGTTTGATTAGAAGAAATTGCAATTCCCTCATTTTACTGAATTGCAATTCGTGGGGTACCTCCAAGAATTGCAATTCAATGAATTTGAGAAAGGGAAAACAAATGAAATGACACTACTACCCTTAGTTGTTATTACTATTATTATTACACAAGGGTATTTTAGTCTTTATACCACTTCTTTCATTCTCAACTCCAAAATTCGATTTCTCTATACCAAACAACGTAATTTGAATTCATACTTTATTATTTTCCCACCAAATTACAATTCATTTCCCTCCTAATTCATTTCTTCCAACCAAACACCCCGTGAATTGCGATTCAATGAAAAAGAAAAGAGAAAAAAAATGACTTTTTACCCTTAATTATCATTAGTATTATTATTACACAAAAAGATTTTAATCTTTATACCCCAATAATTTTATTCTTCCATAATTAAAATTCATACTTTATTCTCTTTCCCATAATTCCTTTATTCCTTCTTTCCAACCAAAGTTACTGTAAAACTTTAACACCGATTTGGAAGTCGACCTGTTGGACAGCAACTAAACCGAAACTTCCCATCTCGCTGCGGTTCCGATCTATCGTCTTCTTCGTCGTCGGGTAAATTAGGTGCCGTCAAATAGTAAAATCACTCAAAAGAAAAAACCACGCAATCTCGATCGCTCTCTCTCGTCTTTTGAGTGGTTTTAGAGTTTTATCACTTGAAATTAAGGGAGATGGAAAAAGTGATGAATATATTGAAGCCGAAGGCAAACCCTCAACAGCTTTTGAGGGATTGGCAGCGCCGCCTTCGCCAAGAGTGTCGCAACATCGAACGCCAAATCCGAGGCAAGTAGTTTCTGCGTTGAACTTTTTTGATTTCTGTTTTGAAAGAGTAAAGTTAAATCCGGAATTCTTCCGGAGGGGTTTGGGTGTGTGTATGATTGTGATCTGATTACTGGGTATTGCTATCAGATATACAGAGAGAAGAAAAGAATGTACAGAAAGCAATTAAAGAAGCTGCCAAGAGAAACGATATGGGTTCTGCTAAGGTACCTTTATCTTCATTTTACCGCTAATTTCTTACTGTGAACACGCTCAATTTGGAAACCCAGTTTTGCTTTTACATATTTATGAGATTATAGTAGCTAGCAATTTTTATTTTTTTTATTTTTTTAAAAAGAGCTAGCAATTTTTCTGGTGTTATTGATCTTAGAGAAAGGGATTCATGAAAGTTTCAATCTTTGTGTTTAATTTATCATAAAGTTTACATCTTTAGAAAACAATTCAGGAAAAGAGCTTGCTTTGCAATTTGGTGATTATAAAGGTTGAATTTTAGCTTTAATATAGTTGCTTTAATGGTGTTGTGACCGAGTCTATTTTCGTGTGGCATGTGATGAATGTGAGTGCATCACTGAAACTATTCTGGATTTGGGTATATGAAAGAATCTAGTGATTGGATGAACTACTATCTGTTTTACTAGCAGCTTGTCTTTTCCCTAGTTTCCTCTGAGAAATATTCTCACGTTGAGACTAATTCATGTAGCCTAGCCAGTATTGAGTTTGGGTTGTTGTTTATGAGGTGAGGTGTGGAGCTTTGAAGATATGTGCAATTTTAACTTTTCCTGACTTATAAAAAGTATACGCGTAATTAGAAAGAATCAATGTATGGCATATGACTAAAACTTATATTTCTCAGATTGCTTGTTGAAGTTGTTGCTATGATGAGCATCTATTGTTTTGTGTTATCATCCACTCATTTCTGCATTATGTCTCCTATTCATTATTTTCCTGCTGACTTTTGATTATCATCTCAGGCACTTGCTAAAGAGCTTGTAAGATCTAGAAAAACTGTCAACAGGCTGTATGAAAATAAGGCACAGTTGAATTCAATATCCATGCACCTCGGAGAAAGTGTTGGTATGATCAGAATTACTAGTCTTACTGGTTCTTTCTTTTTGGATTGTTATCTATCGTCGTTACAAAGCAAAGTATATACTAACTGGTGCTAGAACTCAGAACAAGAGGGACATATCTCACTGCTTATTGTACTAGGCCTTAGTTTTAGCTTTAAAGAGTTTGAAAGTAATCTCCTATTGTCTCTATATTGGATGCTTTCCTTCTCTAAAGCCCTGTTTGGTAAAAAATTGGCCTATAGGCCAATTTTGGCTTATTTGACCACTATTAATTGTTTGATTTAGTTAAAATATCAATATAAATGTTTGGTAAATTAGCTTTTTGCAACTCCAAAAGGCTAAAATTAAAAAAGCTACTCCTAGCAACTTTTTCAATTAGCTTTTTGAGATTAGAAATTATACCAAACAGCTATCAGTTAACAACTAATTTACCAAACACTTTTCTACAATTAGCTAATGTTATCAACTATTTATACCCTCTAATTAACACAATCAGCTAACAGCAAACAGCTATCAGCTAACAACCATTTTACCAAACAGGGCCTAAATGGCTCATGTATTAGTATCATGTCTATGATATGGAAATGGATGGATGTTTTACTTGGGTTGGTATTTTTATGTAGGAATATTTTTCTAGCGTACTTTAGTGTCGACTGAGATTTTGGCCCTGTTTGGTAAAATAGTTAGCCTATAGCTCAATTTTGGCTTATTTGACCATTATTAGCTGTTTGACTTTGTTAAAAAATCAATATAAGTGTATGGTTAATTAGCTTTTTGTAGCTCCAAAATGCTAAAATTCAAAAAGCTGCTCAAAGCAACTTTTTCAATTAGCTTTTTGAGAAAAGAAATTATACCAAATAGCTATCAGCTAACAGCTAATTTACCAAACACCTTTCTATAATCAGCTAATGTTATCAACTAGTTATACCCTCTAATTAACCCAATCAACTAACAGCTAACAGCCATTTACCAAACAGGGCTTTTATTTGGTATGGTTTTTACAAGCCAATATCCTGCTAAGTATACTATTGTAGACAAAACCCAAAGAGGGGGCGCTAGAAGCAGCTACAAATATGATATCTCGTGAATTTACCATGAAAGTTAGATTAACTTAGTGGCATGTATTGAGAAAATACGATTTCCAATAGTTCCTATTTCTTAAGTTGATTTTCTATGAGGATTGAAGAATGTAAAGATTTTCTTTATATTTGATATCTACTATGTTGATTAATCTCTTTTATTGTTTTATAGCCATTGCTCGCACAGTAGGACATTTGTCCAAGAGTGCTGAAGTCATGAAGCTTGTCAATAATCTTATGAAGGCCCCAGAAGTGGCTCGAACAATGCAAGAGTTCAGTAAAGAAATGACCAAGGTACATTTCTATGAAACATTGGCTCTTTTAACATTATAAATTGTAAGGATTTCAATTTGGATTAATTAGTTATTGAAATTTTGTCAATTCTCAGTGTTTTGATTATGAAATGTTGCAATGCTGATCTTCCTTCATACTTTATCCCTTCCCCAAACAAAACAAAAGAGAAGAGGCAAACATTTGCCTCTACTTTTCACTGTAGAAATCCAAGTTATAAACTATTCTATGCTATTGCTACAGGCTGGTGTTATTGAAGAGATGATGAATGATGCCGTGGACAATGCATTGGATTCAGAAGACATAGAAGAGGAAACTGAAGAAGAAATTGATAAGGTTTTGACAGCAATTGCCGGTGAGACTGCTGCAGAGCTGCCTGAAGCAGTCAGAAAGCAAAAACTAAAGCAACCGGCACAAGAAGTAGAAGACACCGAGGTATGCCCCCCGACCTCTACAATACAATCCTTTGGCAAGGTTATAATGATCATCACTGTTGCAAAAATCGGTCTAGGCGCCCCTAGACCATGGCGATTTACCCCCTAGGCGCCTAACTCGGCCCACTCGACCGCCTAGCGCCTAACTCGTCCATTTCGGTCGAGTTAGCCGAGTTAACCTGATCAGCTTGGCCTTGCTAATTTTTTTCATTATATATATATATATATATATATATATATATATATATATATATATATATATATATATATATGACATATATACACCCACACACGTGCACTATTTTTCCTTTTTTAGTAAGCCCCATAGGCGCTACTCTACTGCCCGACTAGCGCCTAGCGCCTACTGCAACCATGACCCTGATTTAAACTATTGAAATAACTCTTGGTGTGTTACTCTATCAGGGCGCCGACGATGAGGAAGAGCTGGAGGAACTAAGAGCCCGTCTTGCTAAAGTCCGCTCTTAAGCAAACTAAATTACTTCTCCCATTCCCTCGGCTACACAATGTAAACACATTCTTAACATAAGTAACATTATAACAGACACCTTGCCTGGTATCCATGTAGTAATATGTTTTTCAGTGTGTTCTGTAGTTCTTGTATCATAGGATAATGTCCCATTTGAACTAAATTAATGAAAGTGATGTTTGTAATATACTGAATATTGGGTCAAAGTAATATGTTCTTTAAAACTAAATATCACATAGGATAGCTCTCAAGTCTCAGATGACCCGGTCTAAAATCTCCAGTCTGGTGTCTGGTAAAATGCACGAGTTGAAGACTTTTGTGGGTGCCTTGAATTTTCAGTTTCTTTCTTCTCCCTTGATGACTATTCATCTGTTTGCATGTTTGGTAGCCATTCTACAAATCAATGTCGCCATTTTTGGGGGACTTTTCAGGCTCATTTTTAAAATTTGATTTTATTGAATTAAACTTGTTTTTTGGGTGGTTGGTAAATAGCTGTTAGCTGATTGAGTTATTGGGTTTGACTAGTTGATGTCATTAGTTGATTGTAGAAATATGTTTAGTAAATTAGCTATTAGTTGATAGCTGATTACATGCAAAATGATTTTATCTAATTAAAAAAGTTGCTTTGAGCAGTTTTTTAAAATTTTGTCCCTCTTTGACAAAATAGTTAGCCTATTAACTAATTTTGGTTTATTATTAAGTTAAATAATCAATATGAGTGTTTGATTAATTAGTTTTTTTTTAAACTTATTGTTTCAAAATGTTAAAATTCAAAAAGTTGTTCAAAGTAGCTTTTTCGAACAGCTTTTTGAGAAGTCATTTTGCATGTAATAAGCTATCAACTAACAACTAATTTACCAAACACTTTTCTACAATCAGCTAATACTATTAACTAGTCAAACTCACTAACCCAATATTTATCATCTAACAACTATGTACCAAACACTCTTTTTATCATTTTGGAGCATAAGTTGTTATAAAATGCTAATTAATCACACATTCATACTGATTGCTTAACAAGTCAAACAGTTAACAAATAAGTCAAAATTGACTGATATACTAAGTATGTTAACAAACGCTTTAAGAAAATCCGAATACACTTTTATTCGCCTGAAAATGATGTTTTACATGTCAAAAATAGCTAATTTCCCAACAAAATCTTGATGTGCAGAAGCTAGTGATGCACAATTCTCTTATTTCATATGAACAATTTCTTGTAAGTCTCTGTTAACGCGACGTTGGTGGTGCTATAACCTCCATCGACGATGAGATTCAAGCCGCTCACATACTTAGAATCATCGCTGGCCAAATACAGTGTCGCCTTTGCCACATCCTCTTCCTCCAACAAAGCTCCCCTGAGATTCCCCGCACCGGAAAACAACGCATCCGCCTTTCCCTTTTCCTTTTCCGAAATGCCCAGAGTTTTCAACGCCAACGGGGTGCTGAGAGTGTAGGGAGAAACAACGTTAACTCGTATCCCATGTTGCCCCAGCTCGACTCCCAGGTTCTTGGACAGCCCCAGAACCGCATTCTTCGACGCCGCGTAGGCGTGGGAGACGTCGCCGTACACGGCCGTGGCGGCGCTGGCCGTGAAGATAATGCTGCCGGCCTTGGCCGGAATCATGACCCTGGCGGCGTGCTTGGCCGTGAAGAACGCGCCGAAGACGTTCACGTCAAACACGTCCTTGACGACGCCGTAGTCCACCTCCGAGATGCCGGAAATCGGGTTCCCCATCACTCCGGCGTTGCTGAACACCACGTCGAGCTTACCGTACTTCTTAACCGTCGCGTCCACCGCGCGCTGGACGTCAGCCTCAACGGCGACGGAGCAATGCAAAAACGTGGCGTTCTCGGCACCCAGCTCCCCAACCAAGGAGACGCCGAGGGAGTCTTGGATGTCTGCAATCGTGACCTTAGCACCATGTTGGACGAACAGCTTTGCCGTCGCCGCTCCTATGCCGCTAGCGCCTCCGGTTATAAGTGCTACCTTGCCATCTAGCCTGCAAAACAATAGCAGCGAGCATATAATATATAAACATAAATGTGCAATCTAATTATCAATTTAATCTTTTAGCAAGATAGAACACATGCTTCAATTTAGTATTATAATACACAGTACCGGAATCCAACAATATATCATGATGAAAACATGTCATATATACCTTTTGGCTGGTGGTTGTTGCAGAGACGAGGTTGCCATATCTTGAATGTCAGAATGAGCAGAGAGTGTTTGGATCCTATTTATAATTGTTTTCTATTACTAAGGAAGAGAAGTCAAAAACCGAGTGAACACAGTACAGCTATATATTACGCGCAATTAGAATTTTCGGACTTTTTTTTTTTTTTTTTTTTTTTTTTTTTTTTTATCACTTTAATATAACGAAATATTAGATTGGACACATGGGTAATTAATTAATTAAACAAATGTATAATGACCGCTTCAGGTTGATAACATGTTGCATTATTTGACTAGGGGTACCTACTACCTCGCAACTTTTTCGTAGTCAAAATATTGTTATGACCCATTGTAATTAAATCTTTAATGCATACAAATATTATGTTTTGTATGTAGGGTTTGTTTGATAATTTTGAAAATACAAAATATTTATTCTAGTTAAAAAGGAAAAAAAAAATTTATTTTTACGGGACTTGTCTTCAAGATGTGTGATTTGTCAAGGTATCGTTCTTTCAAGGATTGTTGATTTAGAATTTTTAATGGTTACGCCTAAACGAGAATCTAAAGTTTTGGTTTTATTATTTTAGATAAAATTTATTTATCTTATATAGAAGAGAAATTAGACTGATATGCTACCGTACAAAATTAATTAATTCGGATCCAATAGTTATGCTGTGCAACCGAATGTACCATGCGCATGGTGCATACAGTTTAAAACGACGTCGTTTTGATTAAAAACGCGCGTCCCACTTTAAAGAAAAAAATCAGGTTCGACTCTCAGCAATAGCATTATTGTGGATATATAGTTATGAAATTGTGGATATATAGTTATGAAATTGTGGTTATATAGTTATGAATTTATGGATATTTAGTTCATTCATTGTGGATATTTAGTTCAATCATATATTGTGGATATTTAGTTCATTCATTGTGGATTTTTACTTCATTCATTCATTCATTGTGGATTTTTACTTCATTCATTCACTGTGGATATATAGTTATGAAATTGTGGATATATAGTTATGAAATTGTGGTTATATAGTTATGAATTTATGGATATTTAGTTCATTCATTGTGGATATTTAGTTCAATCATATATTGTGGATATTTAGTTCATTCATTGTGGATTTTTACTTCATTCATTCATTCATTGTGGATTTTTACTTCATTCATTCACTGTGGATATATAGTTATGAAATTGTGGATATATAGTTATGAAATTGTGGTTATATAATTATGAATTTTTGGATATATAAAAATGCTATTGCCGGGAATCGAACCTGAATTCTTCTTTAAGTGGGACGCGCGTTTTTTTTTAACCAAAACGGCACCGTTTTGCAACCGTATGCACCTTGCAAGGTGCATTCGGTTGCACAGCATAATTTGCGATTCGGATCTTACAAAGGCCTCAATTGGGCCAGAAGTATGACCCAACAACACTATATAGCCAGGCCTTTAATTGGGGTCTTACATAGGCCTCAGTTGGGCCAATAGTATAACCCAACAACACTAAATAGCCCGGCCTTTGGAGTATATTCCCCTGGCAAATTATATCGTCCACATTGTGCACCCTAGCCCAAAACGACTTTTTTTTTTTTTTTTTTTTTTTGGAAAATTTTGTTTTCCGTGTTTGCTGTTAACTTCTAAAAAAAAAATTCTCATGTTTCGAATGTACATAATTGTATAATAGAATGTATATAAACTCCTAATAACATAATACACATAATCTTTTTTGAAAGGATAATACACATAATCTAACATAAAACATAATACACAAACTTTTAACGTAATACATATAAACTCTTAACATAATACACATAAACTCTTAACTCTTAAAAAAAATCTCCTGTTTTGAATGTACATAATTGTATAATAGAATACACATGTATAAACTTCGCCGCGTCAACTCCACACACAACTTAACAAAACAACGTCGTTTTGGGCAGACGGGGCCGCACAATGCATTGTACGCCGTGGTGCACGATATAACGATTGATTCCCCCCACCCCCTCTATTATTATTATTATTATTATTATTATTATTATTATTATTATTATTATTATTATTATTATTATTATTATTATTTTGTATAATCAAAATAGTACTATGGTGATTAAGCATAGTCACACCACGAACTCGACCTAGGCTTTGAATGATGATTGTTTCATTGTTTGGGTATCTTTAGAGAAAGTTCAACATTTTGGATTTTTGCTTAGCTAAAAAAAAAAAAAAAAAAGAGAAAGAAAACTTTAAAAAAAGAGTTGTTAGGGTAGACTCTAGTCCGCAGTCACCTTAACGTGCCTAATATAATCAACTAATACACATAGGTATCATCTATAACCAGTTAATACAATCAGTTGGTCAAACCAGCTAACATAATTATGTATCCACTAAACCAATCAACTACAGAGTATTAGTTAATTGCCAAACAGTCCCAAAATGTGATAAGTTCTTTATTGATCATATTTTATTTCATGTCTAATCCCTATTATGTGTGCTTAATTAAAATGTATAGATTATGTTTTAAAGATCCCCATTTACTTTAATTCAATTGATCAATTAAGTATGAATTCTCTTGATTAAGTAAAAATTATTGATTTTGAAAATTAATTTATAAGTTCTATTGCATTTGGAAGATTATGTACCCTACTTTCCTTTTACATGAATAAGCTCACTTGATTTGCCCCTTCCCCGCCCAATTTGTCAACTCCCACTTTAAAGGCTATATTGGTGGATGGTGGTGGTATATCCCCCTTCTACCAAAACCCACTTATGTATTCAAACTTGTCACTGCTGAGTTACACAACTACTAATCTATTCTAAATACAAAAATTTATAACACAAGACAAAAAAATTTATAATACAAGACACATACATGTTATACATATACTTATTTTACACAGCTACCAATTTCTTTTAGGTACAGAATTGATACTCTTAACGCACAGAATTTTATAACACAAGACACAAAAACGTGAAACACAAGACACATATACATACACATGTTATATATTCACTTATTTTCAAATCCGATTTAGGTAGAGAATTTATATTTTATGCGCATATAATTTCACAACACAAGACATAAATTCATAAATAAAATACACAATATGTTGTGTGTTACATAACTACTAATTTGTTCCAGGTACAGAATTAAGTAACATAAGACACAGAAGGGATCAGGTGCGGGAGGGGCTTCCCATGCGGTTGTGCGGTTGGACTCACATTAAGCATTAAACTGACGCAATTTAAGTACACAAGACACGCACATTAAGCACACAAACAAAATACCTTCAGAACACAAACCCACGCATCTTAAGCACAAAACTCACGCATCTTAAGCACAACCCTCACGCACCTTAAGCACAAAACTCACGCACCTTAAGCACAAAAACACACGCATCTTAAATTTCAACAACTACTCACATTAAGCACAAACTCACGCACCTTAAGCACAAGACTCACACACCTTAAGTACAAAACTCACGCACCTTAAGCACAAAACTCATGCAACTTAAGTTTCAAAAACTACTCACATTAAGTACACACCCATGCACCTTAAGTACAAAACCCACGCACCTTAAGTACAAAACTCACGCACCTTAAGCACAAGCCTCACGCACCTTAAGTACAAAACTCACGCATATTACTCACCGCACAACCGCACCGGAAACATACACCCTGTTGGTCCCGGTAGTGTTAAAACGAGTCTAGAGAGAGGGGGGGGGGGGGGTGAATAGACTCTTTTCGACTTTTCACGAGTGACCACCTTTTCGTGGTTATACGCAGCGGAAATATTAGCTTTTAAATGTTCTTTGCACAGTTTCGTGTAAAAACAATTTTAGCGTTAGGTCAATGTTATGTAATATGCAAGGCACGAAACTAAAAGCGATATGTAAAGAGAGAGATGGACAGAGAGATTTTTATAGTGGTTCGGCCAATTGTGCTTACTCCACTCTTTTTTTCACAACTTGTGAAAAGGTTTGCACTATCACTCCTAGTACAAACTACTTCAAGTTAGCTTCCTTAGACACTAAGTCGGACAACCACTTGACAGGTTTTTCAACTCCTAGAGTTTACTCCGCTTCTATCAACTTCTTCCTGAGCTGAATTGTTGGAAAAGATATCAGTTGTGTCTCCAACATAGTGAAGCTTGTCTTGATGTCTTGATTGATCACTGCTTGATGACAGTACAAGACTGCTTCAAGTTGTGAAGTATGAGATTGAGTACTTCTCTGAAAAACTTCACAACAAACACTGGTTTTGAAAAGTTAAGATGATGAAACTTCTTTGAAAATGTTTTTCTTAGATTGAGAGAGTGAGTTAACCAGCACCTTCTTCAATGGAGAAGAGAGGTATTTATAGGTGGAAAAATCCATCCGTTGGAGGGAGATAGAAATTTCAAACCTAATAACCAGTGTGTAATACTCAGTGGACAATGGGCATTAAATGCATTTGTACTGTGTAGCCGTTGGAGCAAAAAACATTATGGCTTTTTGTCCTTGTTCACTGACAAGATAGTACAAGTCTTTTAATGCTCATTGTCTTTAGTGAAAATCATTCCTAGGACATCCTTTGTCCGAATGATTTGCCCAACAGATTTGATAGCTAGACAACATTCTCATTGTTTTCATAAATGAGAGTTGTCTTTTAACAAGTCTGTCCTTGACTTGCATATTTGGGGCCGAAAGATTGTCCTTGTCTTTCGTCCTTTCTTCTTGCATGAAGGTTCCTTTTTGTCGAAGCAGTCCATCTGTGACTTGCTATCGTTCTTCTTTCGTTTGCAATCATCTTTCGATCGTCTTCGAGTCTTCAGGTAGACCTATTCTATTAATCTTGTGCATGGATTAACATTTCATGCCTATGTCATACGAGACTTTCTAATAAACAAAATTAAAATAAAGGTCTACAACCTAAGACAGTTTGGTATCATCAAAATCTATATACACTTGTTCCTAACACACCCGCACTGAAACTTAATTCTATATATATATATATATATATATATATATATATATATAACGTGAAATGAACAACAAACGGTTACTATCAAAATTAAAATTCAAAATTATGTCGTGTAGTTTAGGATCAGTGTCCGATTAGGTATATAGATGCAGAAAACCAGAATAGTATTTATAGACAGAAATTTGGTTGCAACTGAAATCAAGCTTGTGTTTATTTGTTAAACCTTGACGTCAACTTTCGACCATTTAGTTAGAAAAAGCATTGTGTCACTTGTCTGGTTTCACACGGGCCGGGAACTCCAAATTGAGACTCTTCATCTTTTGTTCAATATAAATTAACAAAAAGACAAGCATACATATACTAAGAAATGTTATGATAATGGATGATTGAATGGCTTACAAATTTAATTTCTATCAATATTTTCTTAACAGAGAATGTTTCAATAAATTACAAATTTTATTCTTGTCATTTGGCAGCGAGTAAAATAAACTGGCCTGAAGGGCACATGCATGCACTTGCCAGAATTGGATATACAAATGCATAATATACAGAAGCTGTGTTATATATGTTATTACTAGCTATGTTAGCATGCAAACTCTTTTGGGAGAAGAAGAATTTGATCGAGCATGCAAACTAAGAAACTATTTATACTTTGCAATCACTTACTTGATCGAGATAGATAAATTAAATGAGAACGGACATATAAACTCTTTAAAACATACACAACAAAAACAATATATTAACAACAACACTAATAATAAATTTATAGGTGTCAGGCCATTTCGGTTCATTCAGCTTATTATACCATATTCCCGCTCTTTGTTCTATGAATTAATTCCTTTATTATGGTCCTAGTAATATTATAGCATGACCATTTTTGGTCATTCATCAATTATTTAAATGGCGTTAAACATGAAAGCATTTTAATTGATATATTCAGCCTACCATCATCTCAACTTCTCTTTGTTTTAATAAATCACAACCTTGTAAACCAAATTCAAACCTGAAGGGGATTTTGAGTGGTTTGTGAAAGTAGTCTTGGGTTTGAAATTAGGGCTGCAAGGTTGAGGATCGGATTTATTAGAACAAAGAAGAGCTTAGAAGATGGTAGGCTGAATAGATCAAAATGTCCTCATATTTAATGTCATTTAAACACATTTATTTATGAAGAATAAAAAATAGCATGCCACAATAATGCTAAGACCAACAAAAGAATTAATTCTTAGAACAAAAAAGAGTGAGAATATGGCAGTAAGTTGAATAATAGACCAAAATGACCCATGTTCAACGTTATTTAAACCAATTTGTCAACGGATGATAAACATAGTCATGTTACAATAATATTAAGACTAATCAGGGATATATTTCTTTAATTTTTTTTATTTTTTGAATCACCTATAAATTTAGGACAAAATAAGTTGACTCTTCCTCAACGTACTGTATCTTTAAGACTTTTGCTAACATCAATCATCATCAAGTACTAATGCATAGATGATATTAAAGTAATGCCATTCAGATGTCAGTCTACATATTTTTTTTTCTTTTTTTTTTTTGGAAAAGGGTCTGATAAGCCCTTAAATTTTATATGAAAAGTTAATTAGGTTTCTAAACTTTTAAAAAATGCAATTACACTATTTAACATGTTATATTCAGACAATGAAGTCAAAGAACCGATAAATGACCTGCTATTACAGGTCATTTCGATTCCAGCATCATCACTAGCGAAAATTCGGCGACCCGCCATCAACTAGAGAAGGCAACTAGTGGTCGCCTTCTCTGGTAGATGACGACCGACGATGATTCGGCCGTTGCCGATCGCCGAATTTTTGCCTGAGATGATGTTGGAATCGAAATGACCTGTAATAGCAGGTCATTTACCGGTTCTTTGACTTCATTGCCTGAATATAACATGTTAAAATTAAAAGGTGTAATTGTACTTTTAAAAAATTTAGGGACCTAATTGACTTTTTAAGTAAAATTTAGTGACTTATTTGACCATTTTCTCCATTTTTTTTAAACAATGAAATCTAATTAACAATGCTTATAATACGCATGGAGTGTATATATGTATAATTTATTACTTGAACATATTATATTATTGGTACATAAATATCATTGACATAAGTATGTCATGATGTAATTACAAATCATTTCGTCATTTTAGAATGCTAAAAACAATGTAGTATCCATCATATACTTTCTCAACCTATTGAAACACAAATAACCAATAACGCCCCCTACTGAGGCTTGAACTCACAACCTTCCAAATGAAAATTCAACCCGGATACCATTAGATCACATAATCTTGGTGAGAGGTTAGTTAGTATAACCATATCCCCCCTCTCTAGAATGACATTTATTCCCATATTTCTTAGAAGAACAAATTGCACTTTTGGTCCTGTGACTATTAGTGTACTGATAATTTGAGTACGTGACTTTCAAAACTCTCAATTTAAACCTTTAACTACGCAATTATTAGCAAATTTGGTCCTGCCGGTCAAATTGCCGGCCAATTTTGACCGGAAAAATGTAATTCTTTTAAAATTATTTATTTATAAGGACAAAATGGTCATTTGATGTCATTTCTTCTTCTTCTTCTTGCGTCTGCGGAAAACCCACCAAAATGCAATTTGTTCAAAATAAAATTACAACCGTAATTTTGGATAGCCAAACAAGACCAAAAAAGATGGCAAGGCGTAAAAACAAACCTCAGCAGGCCATGCATCAGATTCCTTCAAACTCACATTAGTCTCAAGGCTCCGCAGACGCAAGAAGAAGGAGAAATGACGTTAAAATTACCATTTTACCCTTATAAATAAATAATTTTAAAAGAATTACATTTTTCCGGCCAAAATTGGCCGGCAGGACCAAATCTGCTAATAATTGCGTAGTTAAAGGTTTAAATTGAGAATTTTGAAAATCACGTACTCAAATTATCAGTACCCTAATAGTCACAGGACCAAAAGTGCAATTTGTTCTTCTTAGAATAATAAACACACTTACACACAGACAAAGTACAATTATTATTGTTTCAGAAGCTGAAGTAGTATATATATATATATATATATATATATATATATATATATATATATATATATATATTAATTTTAAAATAATTATTTTATTTAAAATTCTTAAAATAAAATTAAGGCCTTGTATTTTTAGATATTTTACACACCTTAAAATTCGACCGTGGGTGTCACTTGTTTGGTTCCACACGAGAACTCCAAAAATGAGACTTCATTTTTTGTTCAATATATAAATTAACAAAAAGACAAACATACATATTGTATAAACTAAAAAAATATTATAACTAGTTTGATTGACGTGAATGTTAGTATATTATAATCTTTCAAAGAGTTCAAAGAGAGATTGAGAGTTAAAAATCTTTTTTCGTAGAAAAAAATTAATATGATAATATTTTGCATTTTAATTAAGTCGGCTAGACGCAAATAAGAATTAAATTGAAAAAAATATTATAACTAGTTGAATTGACGTGAATGTCAATATATTATAATCTTTTAAAGAGAGATTGAGTTAAAAATCTTCTCTCGTATAAAAAAATTAATATGATAATATTTTACTTTTTAACTAAGTCCGCTAGATGCAAATGAAAATTAAATTGAATATGTTACCAGTTTAATTTAAAGGCGTTTTGTAAGTTTGGCTGCATGTAGGATAAACTGGCTTGAAGGGCACGTGCATGCACATGCAAGAATTGGATATACAAATGGACAATATACAGAACTGTGTTGATGGACACTTGTCAAACGTGTAATGGGTATATGTTGACTTTACATTTATGGTGGATTCATGCATGCCATGCTGTTTTTGCCTTTTTTTGGGGTATATTTCATTATTTTGTGTTGTGCGATCTTGCACGACTTTGGCCCTCTCTGGTAAAATTTTTATAGGTTAATTTTGATTTATTGAATCAATATTAGTTATTTGATTTAGTTAAAAAATCAATATAAGTGTTTGGTTAATTAATTTTTTTTTTTTTTTTGTAATTTCAAAATGTTAAAATTCGAAAAGCTACTCAAAGCAACTTTTTCAATTAACTTTTTGAGAAAAGATATTATACTAAACAGCTATCGGCTAATAACTAATTTACCAAACACCAACCTTTCTACAATCATTTAATGTTATTAACTAGTTATACCCTCTAATTAATCGAATCATCTAATAGCTAACAGCCATTTATCAAACAGGGTATTTGTTTTACTTTTGCCTGCTTTCTTAATATTATGAGGTTTTGCGTGTTCATAAAAGCATATCGTTTGGTGAAGTTAGTGATTGTGGTCCATCGGGGACCATCAATCTAAAGAAGGTGGTATATGTTAATAGTTTTAAAATTTGAGCATGCAAGCTAAGAAACTATTTATATTGTGCAACCACACACTTTCTTGATCAAGATGGATAAATTAAATGAGAAATAACAATAATAATAAAATATTATGGAGTATATATGTATATATAATTTATTACTTGAACATATTATATTATTGCTACATAAATATCATTGACATAAGTATGTCATGATGTAATCACAAATCCTTTCGTCATTTTAGAATGACATTTATTCCCATATTTCTTACTTCTTAGAATAATATATAAACACACAGACAAAGTATAATTATTATTGTTTCAGAAGCTGAAGTAGTATATAATTATATATATTTGTGGTATAGTAGGATGAGCAGATGATTAGATAAGGGTTGTCCCTTCTCCGCCGCCAAGTACTTTTTCAACAGCCACTTGAAAGGCTTTATTGGTGGTGGTAAAGCCCCCATCTATCAAGAGGTTCAGCCCGCTTACGTACTTAGACTCGTCGCCGGCGAGGTACAAAGCTGCCTCTGCTACATCCTCTGTTGTCAAAGTTTTCCCTTTGAAATTTGAAGCTTCTGCGACGATTTCCTCTGCCAATTTCCTATCCTGGGTGGGCATTATACTCATTCCCAGCTTGGTGAGAATTACATAAGGCGAAACGCAGTTGGCTTTGATCCCATATTTCCCCATTTCAACGCACAGGCTCTTGCATAATCCCACGACTGCGCACTTGGATGCAGTGTACGTGTCGGAGGTGATCCCGAACACCTCCGACGCGGCGCTTGCCGAGAATATTATGCTGCCCTTCTTCGCCGGAATCATCACCCTGGCCGCGTGTTTGGCGCAGAAGAATGCTCCGTACACATTCGTCTCGAAAACTAGGTTGATGTTTTCTGGGCTGGCCTCCAAGATGCTGGTGTCGCGGCTCCCTGCGGTCCCGGCATTGCTGAACATGATATCCAACTTTCCGTACCTGGAAACAGTGGTGTCCACCGCATGTTGGACGTGGGATTCGATTCTGACGTCGCAGTGGATGAATAGTGCATATTCCGAGCCAATCTCTTGAGCGACGGAGAGGCCATTCTTGTCGTCAATGTCAGCAATGATAACCTTACAGCCATGGTGAGCAAAGAGCCTGGCGGTGGTTGCTCCAATGCCGTTGGCTGCGCCTGTTATGATAGCAACCTTTCCTTCTAGTCTAAAAATGAAAGATATAGATACCCCATGAATGTTCAAACTGAAAATCAAAGAATAATAATGAAAAAAGGATAGTGGGAGCAAATTAAAGTAATAACCTTTTGATGACGGGAAGTTGAAGGGAAGAGGCGGCCATAGTTGCGGATGCTAGCTGGTGTCAGTGAAGGAGAAATGGTATTGAAATTAGATGGATGTTGTGTATGATATGAAGGATGAACATGAAGTGTATTTATAGGGAGAAATTGGGTGGCAAATGGCAATTTACAATCAAGTTATTTAAAAAAAAAAATATTGACATTATATTGCCCCAAGAAAATGAAATGTTAGATAGAAGTTAGTTATTCAGCATTCGGTGTCACTTGTCTGCTTCAGCACGGGAACTCCAGAATGAAACACGTTTCTTGTTCAATACAAAATAACAAAAAGTCAAAACATATATTCACACAAAATTTTTTTCTTTTGGTCCAAAAAACAGTGATGTTATTCTTCTGGGTTAAAGTACCTACCAGATTCCTGTACTATAGCGTTTTGTTCAATTTAGTCCTTATACTTTTATTTTGTTCAATTTAGTCCTTGTACTTTCAAAAATGGTGCAATTAAGGACAATAGTTAACAATGTTAATATTATCGTTAACGTAGGTTACGTGACGCTAATGATATTTATATTCCTACTCATATATTACTTTATAAATATTTAAAAAAAATTTACTTTTACCACCAATATATTAAATTAGTATGTCCAAAATAAATAATTACGACCATGTTCGTAATGAGATTTGGACAATTGTCCTTAGTTTTATCACTTTTTAAAGTAGAGAGACTAAATTGAACAGAATAAATGTACAATGACTAAATTGAACAAAACACTATAGTACAGGGACTGCATAGGTACTTTGACCTATTCTTCTGTACTTATTTCACCTTTTTCTTGGAGTTTGTTTTTTTTTTTTTTTTAATTGAGATTTTTTTGTTTTTTTAATCTGTGGTGTGTTAGTCATAGTAAAAAAAGTTTTATTGTCGCAATACACAGACATATATAGTTTTAATTTATAATGAACAAATTTCACTTTTATGTTCGACTATTGTATGGGTATTTTATTCCAATATTGAAATCCAAATGGTAACTAAAATCAAATATTTAGTAATGGTAATGAATTTAAGAAGAAGAGATCTTTTTGTTTGATAGTGAATATGAATTGGAATCAAAATAAATAAATAATTAATTAATTTAAAAAATAAATATATAAAAATATATATAATACATATATATATATATATATGTGTGTGTGTGTGTGTGTGTGTGTGTGTGTGTGTGTGTGTGTGTGTGTGTGTGTGTGTGTGTGTCGGCCGAGTTGACCATAGAGGGATGTCGTCAAATGATTAATATCTACCTACTTATTACCAATTGGTTTTAAGTAGGATATAACAACTAGCTGGCCAAATAACTCTGTGATTAAGCGGTGCTTAACTTATATGGGAAGTAAGCATAATGCAGCGTTAAGATCCAATAATTGGTATATATCAGAGCCGAAATCACGGGTTTGAATTGATGGTGATGCGGTAGCCGAGTCCAGTTGATGGCGTTCACACTTGATGGCATTCACACATGCATGCAGTTGAAGTACAAAGTCCCAAGTCCCATGCATTTTGCAAAAGATTCGTGAGTGTTGAATGCAAGAATTACCTAAATGTGGTTCGTACTCAATTTTAATTGAATTACTTATTTGGATTATGTCCTGCATGTGTCAGACACAAAGACAGATTGCGAAAATAATAAAAGATAAGTAAAGAAGGGAACCAGGGACACATCAAATTGTACAGAGGTTGCTGATGAAGAAGATTGAAGATGTGCTTTGGGTAGAGTTGAATATTAAACTCATAGTAAAATTGATTTAACCATTAAAAATTGTCACATAAAATTCGATGTCGTTTAATGTAGTAAAAATGAGTGATGGTGAGTGTACGGGTGTGTTATGTCGTCCTCAGGGGATTGGGGGTTATGGCACGCAATATGCAATCGCAATAAACTAGGCACTAGCAAAAGGAAACCAACAAGAAGCTAAGCAAATCATAACGAAGTTAAGACTACGGTAACTAAACAAAATAACTCGAACACATATGAACAAGATGTAAACACGAAATAAAGAAATAGAACTCAAGTTAGGGAGCATTATCTTCTAGATGCATAGCACAACCTAAGGATTGGGGAAAATCACACAGCCAAGGAATAGAGGGGATGCACGTAGGAATCCTAGTCTATAAGTCACTCACGTGAGCAAATTAACAAGGATTAGAACAAGGAATTGCCCCACTCTCGTGGTGAATCAACTCCAAGTTCTTCAAGAAAACAAAGCATCTAAAACCCCCAATTTCCCCCATTTTCATAGGAAAAATCGAGTTTATGCAAGGAGTGGCTTGGAATCTTAACCCAACTCTCATTGAGGCCAAGAATCCTCCAAAACATGCTCACTAGTACAAAATAATGCATAGGAGACTGATATTTAGCTACTGTTGTTAAAAAAACAGTAGTGTATTCTTAATTAAAAAATTCGCGGTGGCAATTTCGTAATAATTGATAGATAATCCGCCATTGTTCTTAGTTGTAATGGATGCGGATTGAAAAATTAAAATAACGCTTTAAGATTCCGCTACCGTTTCTAGTTGAAATAGTGGCGGAATAGAAAAATAAAACTCCAACGGTGGCGGAAAGTATTTTAAAAAAAATTAATTACAATTCGTTTTTATTTCGTCACTGTTACTTCTAGAAACTGTAGCAAAATATCAATCTAAAACCCTAGCTCCACCACTCCTTATCGAACAAACAAATCGAACGAAGGAAGAAAGAGAAAGCCCCGTCGAAGAAGACGCTCCCACATTTACGCTGAACACACACCCATCTTCAACGACGAACGCCCTTTCCTCGGGCAGCCGACATGAAAGCCATCTCCACAGCCCGTCACTGCCTCCGATCCGCCCACAACAGCCACCATACCGTCACTGTCTCCGCCCACCACAGCCAGCGTCACTGTCTCCGCCCACCACAGCCACCGTCACTGCCTCCATCACAGGTTTGTTCTTCATTTATTTATTTATTTTTTATTTTAAATTTTATTAGGTTTAGGGTTTAGAAACGACTAAGGTCTCTGCCTCTCTTTCACCGTAAGCAGCAGGGCTACCGAGTCTCCCGGTCAAGGAGCTTGATGCCGATCATTTTCATCTTCAGAAATGACTAAGGTCTCTGCCTCTCCTTCACTAAATTTAATGAAATGAACATTTTATTTCCTAGCTCTGGTGTTTTTATCATTTCTGCTTTGAATTCCTTGCAGTTACAGATGCACAATTGCACATACATACAACTTTTTGATACATTTACTCATTAGACATGAAGACATCTAATAGAGTTTAGAACAGTTAGTGTTGATAAGGTTGATTAGCTATTAATTCAAGTCTAGAATACAATTAGTTACTTTAGATAGACTAGTTTACTTCATTACGGAGTAATAATTATTGACATTTTTCTGTTTGTTTTTGGACTATTAACTAAAATGTTTAGTTGTATGCACAATCAAACTTATGAATTTATTTGATCTCTCTGCACACAAATGTGATTTGGAAGTGAAGAGTTTATGTTGACATGTCCTTGCAATGTAATGAAATTTGATTACGTACTTGTGGCATGTGTTTCTTATATTTGCTTAGCATATTGTTTTAAAGTAGTTCCTAGGTGCTTGGTTGTAGACTTGTAGTTCAATGTGGTAGATAATAAACTTGTCTTGATTTATGTTGAGGCATTTGATTGAAAAAAAAATAGTGAATTTAACAAAAATAAATTAAATAATTAAAAATAATAATTATTCCGCGACTGTTTCTATGTTAAAACAGTCGCGGAAGACCACTGAATAAAGAAAATAAAAAAATAAATAAAAATACAATCCGCGACTGTTTGACATCAAGAATAGTCGCGAATTAATCCAATTTGCGACTGTTTCACAATAGTCGCGTAATGTCCGAGGCTTTTTGTGACGCTAGTATCTGCGACTGTTGTACAACAGTAGCTAAATGTCATTTACAACAGTAGCAAATGATCAGATCTGTACTAGTGGCTAATGAATGTTGTACACCAAACATTGACAATATACAAACACAAATCCTTCATAAACTCAAGAACCCTAGGTTAGTGTTCTTCCCCTTTTTGCAATAATCATAAATCAAGCATCAAGATAGACCATAAACTAACTACTCATGATTAAATAGCATAAAGAACACAAAAACACAAGTGTAAGCATAAACATTGCAAGATAAAGAGATAAAAGGGAAAAAGAAGATTATCTATTGAAATGATGGTAGAATCTTGAAATCCAAGTGTAGATCCTTCAATACAAGCTAGAAATAGGAAAAAGAACCTAAATCTACACCTAATGTAACACTAAAATATGAAAAGAAAGAGTAGAAAATAGTTAGGGTTCGAATGGCACTACTGGAAATTATGAAATTTCCGACCACCTGGAATTGATCTTAAATCAAGTTGAAACCAAAAAGTGGTCGGAAATAGCAACAAAGGTTTTTCCGGATACCAAAAGTGGTCGGAACAAGACTTTCAACTTGATTTAAGATCACTTTCAGGTGATCGGAAATTCCATAATTTCCAGTAGTGTGGGGTTCAATACCATGTAAAAATGAGTGAAAACTCAGCTAAAAAGGAGCAGAGGCGGGGGGCTTGATAATTCTCGACGCGTCGAGCATTTACAGAATGCAAATCGCGACCTTACTGCCAAGAATTCGACGCGTCGAGTGCTTCTCTGCAACGCAACCCCGACTTGTAGGCTGATTTTGACCACTTTATGCTTAGAATTATGCTTTGATGTCTTCATGAAAGTTGTAGCTCTTCGAGTCTTCTTTCCAATGGAGCAAGAATCACTTCATTTGGACATTCCTAGTTCGAGCTATGGTCAAATTACCAAACAGTGGTCAATTTTGGACGAAATCTGTAAGTTCGGAACTTCAACTTCAAGGATGATTTTGACCACTGTGGCTTCCTTTTTAGGCTTTGATGTTTGAATAGGAGTTGTAGCCCTTTGATTTTTCTTTCCAATAGAACAAGAATCACTTAATTTGGATACTTCTAGACCGAGATATGGCTCGAAAATAGAACAGTGGCCAATCCATGCGAGAATTTCAGCTTGTTGACACTTGTTCCACTTTTGCCTTGGTTTAATTTGTCCATATGATCAACACCATTGAAAACATCACTCTTTGGCTTCTTTGGAAGTGTTGCATCCATCTCCTTAGCTTCACATTGACTCCCCTTGACTCCAAATGCATCCAACATGATCTAAAATCCTTCATTTCTACTCAAAGATAATGAATTGTGCATAATGGATCAAATGAGCAAAATAAAGATCATTTTGAACAACATAGTGACACTTCATAAGCAAAACAATGCTAAATATGAGATAGACATGGGGTATAAATATGAACAATTATGTACTTATCATCATTCACCTTATCTGTTTAACCTGAAAACAACTTGTTAAAAATGTTATCTGCACAAATTTATAGAGTTAAATGATTTAATTACATACTTTTTTGTTAAATGATTTATGGTCCGTGGTTGTTAGGGTGCGTTTGGAAACCCGTAAAATGACTTCTGAAAAATGTTTTCCGGGTTTTTAATGTTTGGCAAGTGGGGGAAAAATGAAGTCAATGTAAAATGATACCTTAGCCAAAGGAAAATATGTATGTTTTGGAGGAAAATGACTTCCCCTTTTATATATATATATATATATATATATATATATATATATATATATATAGACATTCAAAATTATCCACACGGCTTATGAGTGCTATTCACATAAGAATTTTATCAAAAATATCAAACAATTAAAATGTTTAAGTATTCAATTCTTTTCATTTTCCTGCTCATTTTCTAAAAAAATGAACCAAACACACAAAGACAGTTTTACATTACGTAGCCAAACACCGGAAAGAAAAATGTTTTCAAGAAAATGACTCATTTTCCAGAAGTCATTTTACAGGTTTCCAAATGCACCCTTAAATGAAAAACACGAACAAATGTCAATGTAAATGTGCGGTTGAAATTATAGAAGAGGGTGCACGCAAAAGCAAAATTTGATTTGAGTTTGAGTTTTTGTCAAACATTTAGGGCACAATACGTACACATCTTTTAGACCAAATTTCTATCCATCTTGTGATAAACATTCACAAAGTCAAAATAATAACTTTAAGTTTTTTTTTTTATTTTTTATTTTTTTTTATTTTTAACATTAGGTTTTCTATTTTTAAAAAATTACATTATGAAGTAGCTAGGGGCTTAGGAGGAACCTTTCTAATAAGGATGAGTTGGATACTTACTTATTATTCTATTAAGTTCATTCCAAACCGGCCCAAAATAGCTTTATGCATATCCAAACTCATCCCGAACCCCGAAAAATGGTTATCCGTACTTTTCCGTAACTAGTTTGACACTACTCGCTAGGTACCCGAACTTATTTAATATATTTTTAAAAATTAAATTTATTAAATATATATAATCTTCCTATACTATAAAAATATTTCAACTTCGTCCCAATTTTACATGCTAGTATATTACAAATAGCATGGAGTACAAGTTAATCAAGCTAGCACAACTATAAAAGAATTTATGCATAATAGCATCTTATTATCTATATCCTAGATCAGCAAATATTTTAACCTCATTAATATGTTTTTTTTTGTTTTTTGTTTTTTTTTTTTAAACTTAGGTAATCCTAACTTTGTCAAACTAATCATTCTTCCAAAAAAGGTTGAACCCTAACCCTAATTTGTCCAACTAATCATAAGTCCATAGAAACTTGCCTCTAAAGTCACTACTGAGATAAACTGGGATCGGCGCAATGTTGTTACTAAGCTCCTTAATATTAATATGTTTCTTTAAGTTACGTTCATGCAGGCCAGTAGTCGGTAACGTTGTTTTTATAGAAAATGCATTAATGCACAATACCAAAACAGGGAGTACTAAAGCATTAAAGTTTAGGATTTCATTTTGATTTTAAAATTTTAAATAATACTTCATCTGTCTCATTTTATGTATTAGATTCGATTAATAAGATTTCACTAAAGTTATTTACAGTTTAATTTTTTATAATATTAAGTTTAGAGTTTATATGTAAAATTTATATATTTAGAAACTACATCAAATGTACTATTAAACAAAAAAAAAAAATTAAAAATTATATGAAAATGCAAATATAAATATTGACAGGATAATCTGGTAAGGTATTGGGTCCGACTCGGTACACTTGGTCTAACCCATCAAAGCATTGATGACGGTCAAACATTAACGGTCAAGAGCAGAGAACGTAACGCCACGCATTAAGACCGCTGCCTCATCAAAAAGAGGAGTTATGAACGGTTGGAGGAGGGCGTCTCAATTTACAAAGGAGTCAGCCGTTGCAATTATTAGGAGACCGTTAGTGCCCATTATTGTAGATGTTAGCATTATACTATATAAATTAAAAGAGAGCCCATGTTGACGAAATCTCAATGCATGTCTGCTATGCATCAGAAGAGAGAGTAGTAGGCTAGAACATGAAAGGAAGACTCAAAGTTGAATTAAGGAAAGTGAAGTATCAAGTCTTACAAGCTCAGAGTTCATCACTTATATATTTACAGTTGTGGCAGTTAAGCAGTTATAACAGAAAGCAATAGCAGAATTACAGAAAAGCCCTTAGGCTATTGTCTTCATCTTGTCAGCATATTTTGTCACCCCCCCCCCTCCCCGCCGGGTAAGTTGGAGCATGAATGTCTTGAAGGCCCAGCTTAGAATGAAAGTTATCAAAGCTCAATTTAGGCAAAGCTTTGGTGAAACCATCAGCTACCTGTTTCTGTGAAGCTATAGACATCAACTTGATTACCTTGTCATATACCTTTTGCTTTACTATGTGACAATCTATTTCAATGTGTTTAGTGCGTTCGTGGAAAACATGATTTCCCTCTATAGCAATAGCTGACAGATTATCACAAAACAAAGTAGTGGGATGAGTAGGTTTTACTCCAAGATCTGCTAGCAAGTACAGGAGCCATTGGATTTTACAAGTTGTGGATGCTAAGGCCCTGTATTCTGCCTCAGATGATGATCTTGATACAGTCACCTGCTTCTTTGATTTCCATGATATTAAAGATTGCCCAAGATAAATGCAGTAACCAGTAATTGATTTCCTAGTTTTTGCACAAGAAGCCCAGTCAGAGTCAGAAAAACCTTGCAGTCTGATTTGAGTGTTGGCTGGGAAAAATATTCCTTTTCCAGGAGAGCCTTTGATGAATCTTAGAACCCTATGAGCAATCATAAGATGTGTGCTTCTAGGCTTGTCCACAAATTGGCTTAGTTGTTGTATAACATAGGAGATATCTGGTCTAGTATTGGTTAGATAAAGGAGTTTCCCAACCAATCTTCTGTATTCTTCAAGATTATCCATCAGGGTCCAATCCACATTATTGAGATTTTGCCCTGGAGTAATGGGTGTTTGTGCAGGCTTTGCATCCAGAAAACCATTTTCCTTTAAAATATCCAAAGCATATTTTCTTTGGCATATGTTAAGCCTATCAGGAGTTCCGAAAGCTTCCATTCCTAGAAAGAAATTCAGATGACCAAGATCCTTTATCTTAAAAGCATTGTCTAAGGTTTGTTTCAATTCAGCAATCTGTTTGGAGTCATTGCCTGCAACTAGAATATCATCAGCATATATAAGTAGAGCCATGAATGATTGACCTGACACTTTGGTAAACAAAGATGAATCTGTTGAGGATTGTTGGAATCCATTGTCTTGTAAAGCCCTTGTCAACTTGGCATTCCATTGTCTATTGGATGGCTTGTTTCAAGCCATACAATGACCTCAATAGTCTGCAAACCTGCTTTGGCTTATAATTCCGAAAGCCAGGAGGCAACACCATGTACACTTCCTCCTCTAGATCTCCATGCACAAAAGCATTATTGATGTCAAGTTGCTGAACATCCCATCCTTTTGCCATAGCCACAGCTAGGAAAGTTCTTATAGTTGTCATCCTAGCCACATGGGAAAATGTCTCAATGTAGTCCACTCCTAGTTGTTGAGTGTATCCTTTGGCAACCAACCTGGCCTTATGTCTTTCTATGGATCCATCTGCTCTATGTTTCACCTTGTATACCCATTTGCACCCAATTGGTATTTTCCCTATTGGTAGATCTGTCAGGACCTAAGTCTTGTTCTCAATCAGTGCTTTTATCTCAAATTGCATGGTCTTTCTCCATGTTTCTTCTTTCACTGCCTCATTGTAGGATTTTGGCTCATGTGTGGACAGAATAGATGAGGCACAAGTTATATGACCAGGGGGCAAGCATTCATAAGATATGAATTTGTTGATGGAATGTGGGGATGTTCTGACCTGAGATTTGATTGTTGAATGACAATGGTAGTCCTGGAGCCTAGCAGGAATGGTTCTTTCCCTTTCTGATCTCCTAAGTGGCATCTGAACAAGTTCTTCTACTACATTCTCATTACTTTCTTCTATTTCATTGTCAACAGATTCTAAGACTGAATCATACTGGATCCCAGAACCCATTTCACTGCTGATGTGATCATTATTTTCCAAGATCTCAATATTGTGAGTTGAGTTGTTGTTACACCTTTCCATATCTTCATTGATCCATATCTCAGTGGGAACTAGAGCCAGTGTAGGATTAAACATCTCAGTTTCAATTGCTCTTGGGCTGTCTGCTGAATAGTTCTCTTTCAGAGGGTACATCTGTTCATAAAATTGGACATCTCTTGAAACAAATACACTTTTATTAGTCAAATCATATAGGATATAACCTTTTACATTTGCAGGGAATCCCAACAGAATGCATTTTCTGGCTCTAGGTTGCATTTTGTTTCTCCCTTGTGAAATAGTAGAGCCATAGCATAGACATCCAAAGGCCTTAAGCTGATCATAGTCCACCTTCTTCCCAAACAGTGTCTCAAAGGGAGTTTTGTCACCAATTATAGTTGTAGTCAATCTGTTGATTAAAAAAGAGGCATGTAGAACACAATGACTCCAGAATTCCATAGACAAACCAAACTGAAATCTAAGTGCCCTGGAAACATTCAAGATATGTTGATGCTTTCTTTCTGCAATGCCATTTTGCTGAGGTGTATACACACAGGACTTTTGGTGTATAATTCCCTTTTCATTGTAGAAATCATTCATATAGAATTCAGTACCATTCTCCATGGAAGGCAACCAACTGGTCGCCTTCTCATTCAGAGAAGGCGACCACTAGTCGCCTTCTCCGGTAGACGGCGACCGACGACGATTCGACCGTTGCCGATCGTCGAATTTTTGCCGATGATGATGTCAAAACCGAAATGAACTATAATAGCAGGTCATATACCGGTTCTTTGACTTCATGTCTGACTATAACATGTTAACAGGGTGTAATTACACTTTTAAAAAGTTTCGGAACCTAATTGACTTTTCAAGTAAAGTTTCGGTACTTATTTGACCATTTTATCTTTTTTTTTTTTTTTTTTTTTTTTTTTTTTTTTTTAACAATGAAATCTAATTAAGTATGTCATGATGTAATTACAAATCCTTTCGTGATTTTAGAATGAGAGGTTAGTATAACCATATCCCCCCTCTCTAGAATGACATTTATTCCCATATTTCTTAGAATAATAAACACAGACAAAGTACAATTATTATTGTTTCAGAAGCTGAGGTAGTATATTTTTTTTTTTTTTTGAAAGCTACTGGTTCTATTACATTGTAGAAGCTGAGGTAGTATATATTTGAGGTATAACTCGATGAGCAGATGATTAGGTTGTCCCTTCCCCGCCGCCCAATACTTTTTCAACAGCCACTTGAAAGGCTATATTGGTGGTGGTAAATCCCCCATCTATCAAAAGGTTCAGCCCGCTTACGTACTTAGACTCGTCGCCGGCGAGGTACAAAGCTGCCTCTGCTACATCCTCTGTTGTCAAAGTATGCCCTTTGAAACTTGAAGATTCTGCGACAATTTCCTCTGCCAATTTCCTATCGTTGGTGGGCATAATGCTCATTCCCAACTTGGTCAGAATGAAATAAGGGGAAACACAGTTGGCTTTGATCCCATATTTCCCCATCTCCACACATAAGCTCTTACATAGCCCGACCACAGCGCACTTGGATGCAGTGTACGCGTAATAGCTTCCGAAAAACACCTCCGACGCGGCGCTTGCCGAGAATATTATGCTGCCCTTCTTCGCCGGAATCATCACCCTGGCCGCGTGTTTGGCGCAGAAAAATGACCCCACCACATTTGTGTCGAAAACTAGGTTGATGTTTTCTGGGTTGACTTCCAAGATGCTGGTCTCACGCCTCCCTGCGGTGCCTGCATTGCTGAACATGATATCCAACTTTCCATACCTGGAAACAGTGGTGTCCACCGCATGTTGGACGTCGGATTCGATTCTGACGTCACAGTGGATGAATAGTGCATATTCCGGCCCAATCTCATCAGCGACGGAGAGGCCATTCTTGTCGTCAATGTCAGCAATGATAACCTTACAGCCATGGTGAGCAAAGAGCCTCGCGGTGGTTGCTCCAATGCCGTTGGCTGCGCCTGTTATGATAGCAACCTTTCCTTCTAGTCTAAAAATGGAATGGAAAGCAGAAATTAAAGCGAAAATCAAAGATACCCATCCCGTGTAGGTTTGTCATCACTTCAAACTGAAAATGAAAGAGATAAACAAGAAAACGGAACAAATTACCTTTTCAAGGAGGCCGCCATGATTGCCGTCGCTAGCTAGCTGCTGTAAGTAAACGGCAAATGCTATTCAAATCGTAGTTGATTGGTTGTGGTGTAGGATGCGGAAAACCGAAAACCAGAAGTGTATATATACTTATAGAGAGAAGTTGGGTAGCAATTCAAATCAAGCTTGTGTGTACTCTCCTAAATCATTGACGTTGACTCGACCCAATGCAAGGAGTAAACTTCTCAGGTTGGGCAAGGAAACTCCTGAAATGGGACATATTTCTTGTTCAATATAAATTAACAAAATGATAAACATATAGTTATTACAGAAAGTGTGATTTTGTGGCAGCACAGATAGTGGTAGGGATTACAATTTGATTCCGTCTTGTAGATATTCATCTGAAATCACTTGTATATATGTTGAGTTATTTTGGGTTATAGTGGGTGTTGGGTCGGGTGGGTCTCAAAAAATTAAAGGAAAAACGTTTAAATGGTCCATCGAATTGAATACAAAAATGCAATTAGGACATTGATCTAAAACATATGGAATTAGATCACTCAAGTAGTCAAACATGTTCAATATAATTATACCAATTAGCATGTTGATCCCCCCTCAACAGGTTACCTCGCCACGGTGGTGCCTACGCGGATTATTAAATTAAACATATTCATTTTAGGGTAATGTTGCGTAAGTTCAAAACTTAAAGATGCCTAAGTTTAAAGTTTAAGGTGTGTATGTTTAAAGCTTAAAGTGTACCTGAATTCACTTTGACCTAACCCAAATCAAAAGTGGAGTCCACTAATATTTGTACCAACAAATAGCCACTTAAAATGTCATTATATGCTATTTTTTCAACAGTATATCCCCCTTCTATCAAAAGGTTCAACCCGCTTATGTACTTAGACTCGTAGCCAGCGAGTTACATACAAAGCTGCCTCTGCTACATCCTCTGTTGTTAAAGTTTTCCCTTTTATCTGCATCAGTTTAATTTAATATTCCAGTAGACAGTATTTGGGAAGAAAAATTTTCCCTTTTGAAATTTGAAATGATAAACCTAAAGGCCACGTAGTTTGGTTCTAGGAAAAGTGAAGCGGCGTCAATAATGCTATATTTGAGCTAGGTTGTTGGTGGCAAGGACCACAAAATATTCTCTTATAAAATAATGTGAAGTTTTGTACAAATTTTAGATATTTTAAATTAAATGTAAAATATTTTTAAAGTTCATTATAGATTAGAAGGACAATATAGACATTATGAGTGTTTTTTTTCCCTATTTTAATTAACCATGAATAAAAATAAGCACAAACTTTTATGTGTTTGGGTGCCATTCACAGTCACTATCAAAAATTGCATCTATAAATCTTATTTTTGCATACTTTATGCAATAAATTTGACTGATAAAGTGTTGATAATAACAAAATTCAGCTCGTGACTATCTAAATATAAGAATTATATACTTCATTTATTTGACCACCCATTTTTAGGCATGGGGCTACCACTTGTCAAACGTGTAATGGATATATAGATGTTGAGTTGTTGACCCGAAATTAAAGGTTGGGTTTACTAAGGTCATCCACATTAGTGAATCTTAGATCAGTTTTTGAGGAAATGTGAGTGATGTGGATGAGATGAGACCGAATTTTTGAGCTCCTCTTGCAAATGGTGATTTTTTGTGGGACCTGCAGGAGAGAGAGGGGAAGGGAAAAGCGCGGTGGCGTGCTTGGGGCACACAAATCGTGCCCTGCGCGTCAAAGCCCTTTTTTTGGCACATATCTCTTTTCCTTATCTCTCCATCCTCTCTCTCCTAGTTCGCACTTCAAAAATCATCCCAAAAACCTCATAAGAGCAACATTATTAGCAAATATTTTGGGGAGAACATCAGAAGGATTAGCTTTGGTTCAAAATAATAGTTGATGTGGGGAAGATTTAATTCAAGAAGAATTGGCTTGCAAGGAAGGGAGGTGCGCGCCAAGCGCTGGGCGAGCTGGCGGCCACTCTGACTTTTTAAATTTTTTAATGTTTTTTTTAAATGTCAATTTTTTTTAAAAAAAATTTTTCTTTTTCATTTTCAATCACATTTTTTTTGTCTTCCCTAATCACACTTACAAAAATTCCTCAATAATCGCACTGGAGATCAACTATTGTGGATGCTTTAAGATAAAGTGGTACCTAATTCATAACTATATAGTCACGTTCTGGTGCGAATGGCGCGCCCAGGTGCGAAAATGTGAACTAATTAGCGCGCGACATGTGTCTAGATCTAGGTGTACATATAGTTATAATTAGGTGCACCTAGGTGAAAGTAGGTGTACTTGTAGGTGAAAGTATGTGCACTTGTAGGTGAAAGTATGTGCACTTGTAGGTGAAAGTATGTGTACCTGATCAATGAATGTTAGCAAGGCAAAATTAAATGCACTTGTAGGTGAAAGTAGAGGCAAAATTACATACACCTGTAGGTGAAAGTAAGTGCACTTGTAGGTGACAATAGGACACGTGACGCGCGATTGGTTCACATTTCACACCTGGACGGCCATTTGCACGAGATCGCGCCCCTATATGTGTGTGTGCATGTGTGCATGTGTGTGTGTCAAATAGACCCATCTACTCCTCCATAGTGCTCAATTTACCCCTTCATCTAAAATAAAATGTAATTAGGCACATTAACTTTCTAAAATTGTTGAAATATTATTTTTTTCCAGGTTTTTCTCCGGTTGCCGGTCAAAATTAGTGACTGGAATTTAATGAAAAAAAAAATTGTGGTGACATGGAAAATTCTGTTGTTATCTGAGCAGGCATTTTCTGATCAAATTAGGTATACCAAGATGAATAAAATTGGTCCATTATGGATCACTAAAATATAGAACCTTTGGGAATTATTGAGGAATAAACCATGGGAGATCAGAGAGTTCAAGTTCAGAGAGAGACAGGGGAATGTGGGATTGGGGAAGAAAGTGGATTTTCTTAAAAAAATTCACTTTTCGGTAGCTGTGAGGCAAAACACCCTCTGCATGTGCCGTTCATCGTAGTGTCCCTGGAGCGGTGGAGTATGGGGGTATGAGATCGAGATTCGAATTGGATGTGAGGAGAGGTACGATCTATGGAGTCTTCACCTCCTCCGCCGACGTCGGTGGCTAAAACTTATACAAAGAGAAAGAGGGAGAAGAAGAACAAGTTAATCTTAAGACTCTAGAACACCATTCTCATTAGATTAGTGTTGAAGGATATAAACAAATAGCAGCAAGGGTGGTTTTGTAATTGGCTAGCTGGCTTTCTGTTATAACGGTTTTTATCCTTGTTTCCTCTTCTTTTTTCTCTTGGTCAGCTCATATATAATGAGCTCTCTGCTACTGTTTTGAGCATGATGAATAAATAGCTTTTCCTTCCACTGCTTAGCTCAATGTACTGTTCCATTGGTTTCAGCTATCCTTTTGCTTTCTTTCCATGCTACTGATTCCAACATGGTATCAGAGCGACATCGCAGTTACGCCGCGGCAGTTAGCACGGATCATGAAGCCGGAAATGATAACTCCACCGGAAACACAATAGGAGCTTCAACTCCGGCCAGTCAGATCCATGCGAATCAGAATCCGATGCATCGTATGGATGAAATAAATGATTCGATGTATCTTCATGTCATGGAGAATCCAAATCTCGTGCTCGTCTCGCCTCCCTTGTCCGAATCCAATTATGTTACATGGAGCAGGTCCATGAAGCTGGCATTAGGGGTGAAGAACAAGTTCGGATTCGTAAGTGGCTCAATTCAAAGTCCAGGAGAATCAGATGTGAGGTTCGCTGCTTGGAAGAGATCAAACGATATTGTTTGTTCATGGATCCTGAGATCAGTAAATCCTACTATTGCTGAGAGTGTGCTGTATTATGAATTGGCAGAAGACATCTGGAATGCTCTGAGGAAAAGATACTCCCAGGCAGATCCGCATAAGATTGCAGAGATTCAAAATGAATCTACAGAAGTGTGCAAGGTAATATGTCCATTAATGAGTATTTCACAAAATGTAATGGTTTATGGGAAAAACTGAATGCTGTTAGACCTTTGCTTATCTGTGAGTGTGTGCCTAGATCTCCTTGTTCTCTTAGGTCTAAGATCCAGAAAGACAGGGAAGAAGATCATGTTATTAGGTTTCTGGAAGGCCTAAATGAAGGATTTGATGCTATAAAATCAGGCACTCTAGTCATGGACCCTCTCCCAACTATGGAGAAGGTCTTAAACATGACTTTAAAACTAGAGAGGAAGCTGAATGGAGCCACAGCTCATAAGAATAATGAAGTAATCCAAGCCAATGTTGTTCAGAATCATGTTTCTGATGATGAAAATGTTGTGGCAATGACAGCCTCAAACAATAGAAAGAAATTTAACAACTCAGGAGGGAAAAATGTGCCAAAATGCACATATTGTGGAATGAATGGCCATACAGTGGAGAAATGCTATAAGAAGCATGGATTTCCCCCTGGATGGGTGCAAGGATATAAATCTAAGAACAGACAAGTCCAAGACAGCCAGCAGAATTTCAGTTCTGCTTCTGGGAGTTTGAGTCATTCTGTTAATCAAGTAGGTGATATAGGACTATCACCTGATCAGTTTAAGAGGCTAATGTCTCTTCTACAAGCACAAAATCAAGGAAGTCAGTCCTCTACTAGTGCTGCAATTGCAGTCAATGACACAGGAATGAGATCAAACTTCACAAAAATGCCAGACAATTCAAAGGAAAGCAAGTTCCTCTCAAACTCTCATATTTCTGCTGTTCTAAATTGCCCTACTGTGTGGATTGTAGACTCAGAAGCCACTGATCATATCACATGCTCCTTATAATATATTGAAAACTGCTTTCCAATCAATAATGTTTCTGTAAAATTGCCAAATGGAGAAGTTGTTTAGGTTACACACATGGGAGAAGTTAGACTTCTTCCTGATTTGCTGCTGAAGAATGTATTGTATATCCCATTCTTCACTTTTAACATAGTTTCTGCCAGCAAATTGACAAAACAAACTGGTTGCACTCTTATTATGAGTACTGACTCCTGTGATATTCAGGGACTTCATGGGAGGGTGGATGATTTTGCTAAGGAAAAGGATGGGCTCTATCTGCTGAGTCAGGTTCCTATCAAGAAGAAGCATTTTGTTGAGAATAGTAGTCAATGTAACAGTTTGAATCTACATATGTGGCATAATAGATTGGGGCACTATCCCATAGACAAAATACATAATTTGAGTGGAATAAAATGTGGTCAGTGCCACAAAGTTCAAGATCTTGCTTGTGACATCTGCCATTTTGCTAAACACAAAAAATCTGTTTTCCCAGTCAATAATACTAAGAGTGCTAAGTGTTTTGATCTAATTCATATGGATGTGTGGGGGCCCTTTGCAGTAGCATCCCTGCAAGGGAAACACTATTTTTTAACTATGGTTGATGATTATAGCAGATTCACATGGCTGCATTTGATGACAAACAAATCAAAAGTCAAGGACTTATTTCAGAATTCTTATAACTATGTTGACACTAAATTCTCAACAAAGATCAAGATGGTAAGGTCAGATAATGGGACAAAATTTTTCATGACATCCTTCCTTAATGAGAAAGGAATTGTACATCAAAAGTCTTGTGTTTATACACCCCAACAAAATGGAGTTGCAGAAAGAAAACACCAACACATTCTAAATGTTGCTAGGGCACTTAGGTTTCAGTCTGGGGTACCTTTGGAATTCTGGAACCATTGTGTCTTGCATGCTATATATCTCATTAACAGGTTGCCTACCTCTGTTAATGGTGGAAAGTCACCCTATGAGCTCATGTTTAATCAATCTGTGGATTATAACCATTTCAGAACATTTGGGTGCCTATGCTTTGGTGCATCAGTGTCACGAGGAAGGAATAAGATGATGCCTAGGGCCAAGAAGTGTATTTTTCTGGGATTTCCTGCCAACATAAAGGGATACATATTGTGTGATCTTACTGACTACTGCATTTTTGTGTCCAGGGATGTACAATTTTATGAGAGCATATATCCACTCAAAGAGAGGGTGCCAACAGACAGACCTGCACCTTTTAATCCAACATTACCCCTAGTTCCAATTAATGAAGATCTTGTTCATAGCAGGCATCCAGAGAGGCTCACAGACACACATAGTCCCAATTCCATGCATTATATGAAGATCATAACTCAACTGAGATAATTCATTCAGCAGATCACTCAGCCAGTATTCATGAACAATGCAGTTCTGACAGAGAAAATGGATTCAATGGTGAATTAAGTCCTAGAATAAGTGAGGATGCAAGCCCACAACATGAATATGTCAATCAGCAACAACTCAGAAGGTCTGAAAGAACAAGGAACATCCCATTAAAACTGCAGGACTATTATTGTACCTGTATAAGAACTTCTCCACTCACTCTAGATAAGGTCATATCCTATGACTCTTTACCTCTGAACCAAAGAGTATGTGCTGCAACCATATTAGCAACACAAGAGCCTCAATCCTATAAGGAAGCTGTTCAGCATGAGCCATGGAGAAAAGCTATGGAAGCTGAGATAAAAGCACTGGCTGATAACAACACTTGGGTTTTGACAGATCTCCCTATTGGTAAGAGTCCAATTGGATGCAAGTGGGTGTTCAAAGTGAAGCATAGAACTGATGGTTCAATAGAGAGATACAAGGTCAAGCTTGTAGCAAAGGGGTACACTCAACAATTAGGGGTGGATTATAATGAAACCTTTTCACCTGTTGCCAAGATGACTACAATAAGAACCTTCTTAGCTGTGGCCATTGCAAAGGGATGGGGCATTCAACAGCTTGATATCAACAATGCTTTCCTCCATGGAGACTTATAAGAGGAGGTCTACATGACTACACCTCCTGGTTTCATTACTGACAAGCCAAGGCAAGTGTGCAGGCTATTAAGATCATTATATGGGCTAAAACAGGCTAGTAGGCAGTGGAATGCTAAACTAACATTAACTCTACAAAATGTTGGTTTTAAGCAATCCACAGCTGATCCCTCATTGTTCACCAAAGTTTCAGGAAGTTCTTTCACTGCTTTGCTTGTCTATGTGGATGATATATTAGTGGCTGGGACATCCTCTGAGCAGATCAGTGAGCTAAAGCAATTTCTGGACAAATCATTCCACATTAAAGACCTTGGCCACCTGAATTACTTTCTGGGAATTGAAGCATTCAGAACTGCTAATGGCCTTAGTCTATTCCAGAGAAAATATACTTCAGAGATCCTTAAAGAGAATGGTTTTTTGGAAGCTAAACCTGCAAGTACTCCTGCTACAACAGGAATAAACCTTAACAGTTCAGAGGGCATTTTACTTGAAAATCCTGAAATTTACAGAAGGCTCATTGGCAGATTGTTGTATTTGACAAACACAAGACCAGATATTTCACATGTTGTTCAACAACTTAGCCAGTTTGTTGATAAGCCTACTAGCATTCACCTCACAGCTGCTCACAGGGTGCTTAGATATCTCAAAGGATCTCCAGGGAAAGGTCTTTTTTTATCATTCCAACACTCACATCAAACTGCAAGGATTTTCTGATTCTGATTGGGCAAATTGCAGTGAAACAAGGAAGTCCATTACTGGCTTTTGCATATATCTTGGAGACAATTTGGTATCTTGGAAAACCAAGAAGCAAGCCACTGTATCAAGGTCTTCATCCAAGCTGAGTACAGAGCCTTAGCCTCAACTGTGTGTGAAATTCAGTGGTTGTTGCACTATCTGCTCAAAGACTTGAATGTGAACCTTGAGACTGCCACTTCCCTATTCTGTGATAATTAGTCAGCCATTGCTATTGGGGAGAATCATGTGTTCCATGAGCGTACTAAACACATAGAAATTGACTGCCACATTGTCAAATAAAAAGTAAATGAAGGTCTGATAAGGCTGCTTCCCATTTCCTCTCAGAAACAAATTGCTTATGGTTTTACAAAGGCATTGCCAAAACCAGCTTTTACAACCTTTCATTCTAAACTGGGCATTCTTGATATTCATGATCCAGCTTACGGGGGTGTTGAAGGATATAAACAAATAGCAGCAAGGGTGGTTTTGTAATTGGCTAGCTGGCTTTCTGTTATAATGGTTTTTATCCTTGTTTCCTCTTCTTTTTTCTCTTGGTCAGCTCATATATAATGAGCTCTCTGCTACTGTTTTGAGCATGATGAATAAACAGCTTTTCCTTCCACTGCTTAGCTCAATGTACTGTTCCATTGGTTTCAGCTATCCTTTTGCTTTCTTCCCATGCTACTGATTCCAACAATTAGCGTAAGAATGCAGATACAACATGGGTAAACATAATACCATGCATGTCATGATGTAATTACAAATCCTTTCGTCATCATTTTAGAATGAGAGGTTAGTATAACCATATCCCCCTCTCTAGAATGACATTTATTCCCATATTTCTTACTTAGAATAATATATAAACACACAGACAAATTAAGAACAATTATTATTGTTTCAGAAGCTGAGGTATATATAACACGATGAGCAGATGATTAGGTTGTCCCTTCCCCGCCGCCCAATACTTTTTCAACAGCCACTTGAAACCCTATATTGGTTGTGGAATATCCCCCATCGATCAACAGGTTCAGCCCGCTCACATACTTAGACTCGTCGCCGGCCAGGTACAAAGCCGCCTCTGCTACATCCTCTGTTGTCAAAGTATGCCCTTTGAAATTTGAAGCTTCTGCGACAATTTCCTCTGCCAATTTCCTATCGTTGGTGGGCATACCGCTCATTCCCAACTTGGTCAGAATTATAGAAGGCGAAACGCAGTTGGCTTTGATTCCATATTTCCCCATTTCAACGCACAGGCTCTTGCATAGTCCCACGATTGCGCACTTGGATGCAGTGTACGTGTCGGAGGTGATCCCGAACACCTCCGACGCGGCGCTTGCCGAGAATATTATGCTGCCCTTCCTCGCCGGAATCATCACCCTGGCCGCGTGTTTGGCGCAGAAGAATGATCCGTACACATTCGTCTCGAAAACTAGGTTGATGTTTTCTGGGCTGGCTTCCAAGATGCTGGTGTCGCGGCTCCCTGCGGTGCCTGCATTGCTGAACATGATATCCAACTTTCCATACCTGGAAACAGTGGTGTCCACCGCATGTTGGACGTGGGATTCGATTCTGACGTCGCAGTGGATGAATAGTGCATATTCCGGCCCAATTTCATCAGCGACGGAGAGGCCATTCTTGTCGTCAATGTCAGCAATGATAACCTTACAGCCATGGTGAGCAAAGAGCCTAGCGGTGGTTGCTCCAATGCCGTTGGCTGCGCCTGTTATCATAGCAACCTTTCCTTCAAGTCTAAAAATGAAAGAATAATAATGAAAAAAATGATAATGGGAGAAATTAATTAATTAAATTAAAGTAACCTATTTTCAAAAAAAAAAAATTAAAGTAACCTTTTGAAGACGGGAAGTTGAAGGGAAGAGGCGGCCATAGTTGCGGATGGTATAGGTGGAGAAATTGAAGGATGCGGAAAACATGCATGAAGTGTATTTATAGGGAGAAATTGGGTGGCAAATGGCAATTTACAATATAATATAAGCAAGCTAGTTTGTGTGCATTTTTAAAACATTGACATTCTATTGCCCCACGAAAATCAAATGTTAGATAGAACTTAGTTATTCAGCATTCGGTGTCACTTGTCTGCTTCAGCATGGGAACTCCAGATATGAATCACGTTTCTTGTTCAATGCAAAATAACAAAAAGTCAAACATATATTCACACAATTTTTTTTTTCCACATGTTACTTGCATTTTAAAGTTTGAGTTATTTATAAAAATGTCACAACATTTTTTAAATTACTTTTGATCCATTAGATCTCTCCAGATGGACAACTTTAATTAGTTCTTAGTTTTTTCCTGGACTGTAGTCCTCTCAAGGTCCGACTCAGGTGCGAACTGCCCTCCTTCTCGTGTGAACGTACGAACTGAATAAATACACCGTAATTACTACACGAATGCACCACAAGGTCTTTGCTGCCACATGATTGTTAACCCTACTTTCCCAATTTCATCACAAAATAAAATTAGGGAAGGTTGAACAAATATATTTAATAGTGAATAAAATTTGAAGCATGTCAAGCTAATTAAAGTGTTTCATGTTTCTTCCTCTAAGTTCAAGTTGGTACCTATAAACACATTTTTTCTTCATCATCTAGATATCTCTTATTTTGCTGCCACATGATTGTTATATACATTTTTTTTTTTTAAATTTACACAGACATACTTTGATTAATATTTTTGAAAATGTATAAACTATTTTTATACATTTTGATGATATTAATTGAATTAACACCGAAAAATAAGTGAATATATATAATGGTGAGTTTAAGAAACAAGAACGATGGTTGATGAAATGTAATTGCATCCCCGGAGCAAATGATGTATTACATTATGTAGTTGAATTCAATACCAATCAAAGCATTTATGTTTAATATTATGCTAACTATTTATACAAGCCATGGGTACAATGACTTCTCATGTGTATCGATCTGCTCTGTGTGCTTTAGCTACTTCTTCACCAAGTATGTAATACCTCGGATCAGACTCAAGACTATTATTTTAAATCTTTAACATTCTAATTATCTTGTCACATTATTTTTAGATTCATTCAATAAAATCAAAACACGTAGCATGAGTTTTACGTTTCTTTTTTAATTTTTCAATTGATATATATGTAGCAATCATTAAATGTTTGATGTTGAAGTCATTGAAACAAAAACCTAAATCTTAATGGTAATTTATTGTTTCCATTCATTAAAGACTTGGTAGGATATGCACCGCGTACCAGACCTCTCACCAACCCCCACCCACGTGGCCCTATTTGGTAAAATAGTTAGCTTATAAGTAATTTTGATTTATTTGACCCCTATTAGCTATTTGACTTGGTTAAAAGATCAATATAAGTGTTTGATTAATTAACTTTTTGTAACTCTAACAGGGCGTTTGGTTGGAGGGGGGGAATTATGTGGGAAAGGAATTGTAATTCCATGGGAGTTGAATTACTGGGAATAAAGTGGGAATTTAAATTCCAGTGTTTGGTTGACAGGAATAGAATTACTGGGAATTTCAATTCCAATGTTTGGTATACATGGGAATTGAAAGGGAATAAGTAGTATAAAGTCAAAAATGTCCATTATTGTTGTTAGACATTAATTTTAAGTTAAAAAAGGAAGGGGTAATGTTGACTCATCACTATCTTTTTTTCCCAGGAATTAAAATACCAGGGGGGGGGGGGGGGGGGGGGGACATGGGATTTTAATTCCATGAAAATGGGGGAATTGCAATTCCCTCCAACCAAACTACGGAATTTAATGGCATTTGGAATTATGTGGGAATTAAGTGGGAAGGGAATTTAAAATCCCTCCAACCAAACGCCCTGTAAAATGCTAAACTTTAAAAAACTGCTCAAAATAACTTTTTCAATTAACTTTTTGTGAAAATAAATTATATCAAACAACTATCAGCTAACAGTTAATTTACCAAACATCTTTCTATAATCAGCTAATGTTATCAATTAGTTATACCCTATAACCCAATCAACTAACAACCATTTACCAAACAAGGCCCATATCATACTCCGATCCATCCAATCTCCAGTCGTTATATCGTGCACTAGCCACTAGGGCGCACAATGCATTGTGCGCCCCGCCCTGTCAAAAACGACGTCGTTTTGTTAAGTTGTGTGGGGAGTTGACGCGACACAGTTTATGTGTATTCTGTTATAAAATTCTATACATTCTATTATACAATTATGTACATTCTATTATACAATTCTGTACATTCTAAACAAGGATTTTTTTTTTAAGAGTTAAGAGTTTATGTGTATTATGTTAAGAGTTTATGTGTATTATGTATTATGTTAGATTATGTGCATTATCCTTTCAAAAAAGATTATGTGTATTCAGTTATACATTTCTGTACATTCTATTATACGATTATGTACATTCGAAACATGAGATTTTTTTTAAAAAAAAAGTTAAGAGTTTAGGTGTATTATGTTGAGAGTTTATGTTATTATGTATTATGTTAGATTATGTGTATTATCTTTTCCAAAAAGATTATGTGTATTCAGTTATACAATTCTGTACATTCTATTATACAATTTTGTACATTCGAAACATGAGAATTTTTTTTAAGAAGTTAACAAAATACACGAAAAAATATACAAAATGACGTCGTTTTGGATAAGAGCGCACAATGCATTGTGCAAAATGGTGTACGGTATAATTTGCCTCCAATCTCGGTACACTAAATTGAATTGGGCCACACATTGCATCTGTAATTTAAGTACTATGAATGGGATTCATGTACTACAAAATTTATATAATGTTTGTGTAGGAATATATCACAAGAAAAATTAATTTCTTACCTTATAGTAAGTGATAGATGTTGTGCCTTCATCAATAAGGTCCTTATTGATGAAGACACAACATCTATCTATCACTTTTCTGGTAACCGGACAATGGTATGTTCGTTAGTTAGGGACTTAGGGTGTAGGCCAGTGTATGGAATTAGTGTTTCAGAAAATAAGATAATATTAAAAGTGAGTTCCATTCCCTACCTTGGTCCATTAATATATATCATATAATTGAAGTTAAACAATAATGCTATGCACAATCTCATAGATTAGTTTTGTTTGTGGCACACATAAACTTATTATCAGTTTAAACTTTTAGTTACTAATTTAAGGCATAACATATATTTAAAATAATGGTATATTTAAATAATGCTGCCATTGGGGATTGAGGGTGGGTTTAGGAGAATGATTTGAGTGGTTGGGACAATCAACCGCTACTCCAAACTCTCTTCAAAGGGTTCATTTTGGTTTGTGGTTAAAATGCACCGTTCGAATTGTAGAAATTTCAACGTCGATGAGACCAGTGCAATTAGAATGACTCAAACACTTCAAGTTTAATTAGTGAATGAATAAAAGCATAAGGGTGTAGTGTGATTACGTTTCAACTATTTCAATCTCATTGTTGATACTCTAATCGCTCTAATTTAACTACTCTCCTAAACAAAGCCTAAATAAATTCGCAAAGTGAAATTATAACTTGATTCTACTTTGTTAGTTACGTTGTCGATCTTTTTGCATTGCTTCATGTACTAAAAGATAATTTTCAAAAAATTATACTTGTATTATTAGATTCTATATTAGGAAATGCAAAATGTACATTGAAAAAAAAAATAGAACTCCTAATTCTATTAATATTCTAAGAGGTTTGTAAAAAATTAATTTGTAATATTTATTTATAACTGTTTAATTGTGATTGTGCATTTGATAAATTTTTAATGTGTTAATTTATGATTGATATAAAATTGTAAAATGTATAATATAAGTTAATTTGTGATTTTTAATGTGTTTGTGACAATAAATTATTAAATTAATTAATTGATATAAAATATGTTAAATGATTACTTAGGGTGTGTTTGGTTCATGGATTTTACACACTATGAATGAGAATCAAAATCATACTTAGTGTTTGGTTGACAACTTTTTAAAACACTAATTATGAGATTTGACTACCCCTCCAATTAAAAATCATTATCTAATTTGGTCACATACAATCGGGTAGGGTGTTAGAAGTTTGAATTTATATATATGTATGTAGTAACATGGAGTTAAGACTTAATTGAATTAGTTATATCTTGTGGAGTATTTTTTTTTTTTTTTTGGTGAATAAAGAGAGCTTAAGCCTCCGCATTATCTAATTCTTCTAATGAGAGCTCCCTCACAAGCTAGAAGGGGAGTCATACCATATGTTGATTTTACGGCTCTCGGGTGCTGGTGGGTCGACAGGCCAACACTACCGTAAAATACTATAAACAAGAGTTTATGTGGACAGAGAATAAGGTAATGGAAAGAATAAAGTGATATTATTTCTCTAGGGCTTCGTCCGCTTAAGTGCCAAAATAAGCAAAAAATGATCGATCCCCTTGCACGATGATCTAGGGGATATTTATACAAGAATACAAACTCGTACAAGGAAAGTAGCTAGGGATGCTGTAGAGCCAAGATCTACAAGGAAAGTAGGGCTGACGTAGGCCGAATCGGCTAAGGAAACTAGCCTCTATGACACCATAAATGCCTAAAGTAATAAAGGAAGCTACTTGTATTAAATGAGGAAAGTAAATTTCCGCGGATCCTGCTTATAACCGCCTCTGAGGGAGTACTTGACCAGGGAGCATCCTGGTTGCCTGATTGATCTCCTGAGCGGTACCCGGTTAGGGACACGCTGCCTGTAGAGCCTGGTCGCCCATCCGAGTTCCGCAAGGCACTCAGTCGGGGGCACCCCAACTACCGAGGCTGGTCGCTTTAGTCGAATCGACTGACCTCCACCTGGGCGGGCAGCCGCTCTCCTTGGTGGTCGGTCGTTGGGAGTCGATTGGCTATGACCTTCGTGTGTTCTTCTCGGAATCGCAGGTATTGCCCATTTTCTTAGTGTCGCATCGCGCCTGCACCTGACCATCTAGCCTCATCTTTCTGGCCGGGTGTTCAATTTGGAGGGTATCTATCACCATCCATTGCTTCCGTGAACACCCAAGTGCCCTAATTATTTTCTTGAGCTAAGTTAGTCAGAAAATTAGCGAGTATTTTGTGCTAAGTTAACCCCATCAATATCTCGTGGAGTATGAATATCAATGTAATACACCCAAAAAAAAAAAAAGAATATATATAATAACATAATGAAATATTTATGGATCTTTATGAATTGATGGACTTTATTATTGTTCTTTTATTTAGATTATTATATTCATTGTGTGCTAAAATTATATTAATATGGCTATACATTATATTTCCTAACTGTATCTTCGAGGCTTTTCCTAACATCAATCATCATCAAATATTAATGCATAGATCAATATTATCAAACTAATGGCATTCAGAAGTCTACCCATTTGTTTTAGCAATGAAATATAATTAACAATGATTAATACGCATGGTGTATACATTGCTGGATTTTAAGGTCTACAAGATGGGCAACACCACATGGCTTCAATCTTTAGAGGATCTAATATTTACACTGTTTATATTTATTTGAAATAAAAAAATAATATATTTTATGGTAGAAACTGATATTTGCATTCAGTTACAGGGCTCATACTTATTTAAAATAAAAATCATATATTTTACAGTATTTATTTTAAAAATTGGCCTTATCCTTTTGGTAGGGTCTCATTTATTTATAAGAACGGAACCAGAAAAAAAAAAAAAAAAAAAAAAACCGCCCTGGAAGTATATGTATAATTTATTACTTGAACATATTATATTATTGCTACATAAATATCATTGACATAAGTATGTCATGATGCATGTAATTACAAATCCTTTCGTCATTTTAGAATGACATTTATTCCCATATTTCGTACTTCTTAGAATAATATATAAACACACAGACAAATTAAGTACAATTATTATTGTTTCAGAAGCTGAGGTAGTATAAAACGATGAGCAGATGATTAGGTTGTCCCTTCCCCGCCGCCCAATACTTTTTCAACAGCCACTTGAAAGCCTATATTGGTTGTGGAATATCCCCCATCGATGATTAGGTTCACCCCGCTCACATACTTAGACTCGTCGCCGGCGAGGTACAAAGCCGCCTCTGCAACATCCTCTGTTGTCAAACTAACCCCTTTCAGATTCGGAGCTTCTGCTACAATTTCTTCTGCCAATTTTCTATCCTGGGTCGGCATTATACTCATTCCCAGCTTGGTCAGAATGATAGCAGCCGAAACGCAGTTGGATCTGATCCCATATTTCCCCATTTCAACGCACAGGCTCTTGCATAGTCCCACGATTGCGCACTTGGATGCAGTGTACGTGTGAGAGGTGATCCCGAACGCCGCCGTCGAGGCGCTTGCCGAGAATATTATGCTGCCCTTCCTCGCCGGAATCATCACCCTGGCCGCGTGTTTGGCGCAGAAGAATGATCCCACCACATTTGTGTCGAAAACTAGGTTGATGTTTTCTAGGTTGGCCTCCAAGATGCTGGTGTCGCGCCTCCCTGCGTTGCCTGCATTGCTGAACATGATATCTAACTTTCCGTACCTGGAGACAGTGGTGTCCACCGCATTTTGGACGTGGGATTCGATTCTGACGTCGCAGTGAATGAATAGTGCATATTCCGGGCCAATCTCTTGAGCGACGGAGTTGCCATTCTTGTCGTCAATGTCAGCAATGATAACCTTACAGCCATGGTGAGCAAAGAGCCTCGCCGTGGTTGCTCCTATGCCGTTGGCTGCGCCTGTTATGATAGCAACCTTTCCTTCTAGTCTAAAAATGAAAGATAGATACCCCAATTTGTCACTTCAAAGTTCAAACTGAAAATGAAAGAGATAAAAAAGAAAAGGGAAGAAATTAATTAAAGTTATTACCTTTTCAACGAGGCCGCCATGATTAATTGCCGTCGCTAGCTAGCTGCTGTAAGTAAACGACAAATGCTATTGAAATTGTAGTTGATTGGGTGTGGTGTAGAATGCGGAAAACCAGAAGTGTATTTATAGAGAGAAGTTGGATGGGTAGCAATTCAAATCAAGCTTGTGTGTACTCTGATCTCCTAAATCATTGACGTCGACTCGACCCATGCAAGGAGTAAACTTCTCAGGTTGGGCACGGAACTCCGGAAATGGGACATATTTAATTTCTTGTTCAATATAAATTAACAAAATGACAAACATATAGTTACAAATAGTAATATCCGTCTGGTAGATATACACCTGAAATCACTCTATATGGGTTGAGTTATTTTGGGTTATAGTGGACGGGTGGTGGGTTGGGTGGGTCTTACAAAAATTAAAGAAAAAGCATTCAAATTGGTCATCAAACTGAACACAAAAAATGCAATCAGACTATTGAATTAAAAAAAAAAATGTAATTAGATCATTCAAGTTGTTAAATATGTTCAATTATACCAAGCCAATTAGCATGTTGATCCCCTCCTCAATAGGTTACCTCGCCACAGTGGTGCCTGCGTGGATTATTAAATTAAACATATTCATTTTATGGTAATTTTGTGTAAGTTCAAAGCTTAAGGTGTGTATGTTTAAAGCTTAAGGATTTAAAGGTGCATCACTTTCTAGTTTAAGGTGTATCAGTTTAACTCTTAAGGTGCACGACTTACAAACTCTAGGTGCATAAATTTCAAGCTTAAGGTACATCAGTTTTCAGCTTCTGGTGCATGAATTGAACTCTTAAGGTGCACAACTTTGATTCATTAGGAATATCGACTTCCATACTCTAGAACGACAAATTATGCTGTGCATCCGTATGCACCATGCTATGCATGGTGCATACGGATGCAAAAACGACGTCGTTTTATTAAAAACGCGCGTCTCCCCTTAAAAAAAAAAAAAAATTCAGGTTCGATTCACAGCAACAACATATGAATTAAAATTCCAGAATCGATGAACTATAATTCAAGAATCTATGAACTAAAATTCCAGAATCTAATCTATGAACTAAAAATTTCAGAATGAATGAACTAAAATTCCAGAATCTATGAACTAAAATTTCAGAATCGATGAAATACAATTGCAGAATCGATGAACTATAATTCCAGAATTAATGAACTAAAATTCCATAATCTATGAATTAAAATTCTAGAATGAATGAACAACATAATGATGTTGCTGGGAATCGAACCTGAATTTTTTTTAAAGGGGAGACGCGCGTTTTTAATAAAACGACGTTGTTTTTGCATCCGTATGCACCATGCATGGTGCATACGGATGCACAACATAACTATCCCTCTAGGACTCTAGGTGCATAAATTTAAAGCTTAAGTGATCAAATCAGTGATGCATGAATGCTAAGATTTGGGAGCTTCATCTTAGTGTAAGAAAGGAAGCAAAAGTTTTATTCAGTGTGAAGTGTAATCTATCTTACAGGGAAGACAAGCCATCTGCTTTATACAAAGAGAGAAAGGAACAAGATGAATGAAAACCGTTATAACTAACTCTTAGGGTAAAAAGACTAAAAAACCCTTAAGGCCATAAGGCTTATAACAGCAGCAAACAACAGCAAGCTCACTTGGCTAGCTCATTAGGTGTGTTATTAGATGTGTTATGCTTCATCCCCCCCCCCCCCCCCCCCCCCCCCATAAGGTGGAGCATGGAGGTCCTGCATGCCCAGCTTAAATTGACAATCATCAAACAGAGGTTTCGACAGCCCTTTTGTGAAACTGTCTGTAAGCTGCTTGGTGCTAGGAATGGCAAGCAGTCTGATCAACCCTTCTTGGACTTTATTCCTCACCACATGGCAATCAATATCAATATGCTTAGTACGCTCATGGAATACATGGTTTTCTCCAATAGCCACTGCTGACTTGTTATCACAATACAAGATGGTAGGCTCAGCAACATGAACCTGTAAATCTTTGAGAAGATAAGTAAGCCACTGAATCTCACAAGTAGTAGTAGCCAAGGCCCTATATTCAGCCTCAGAAGATGATCTAGACACAGTTGCTTGTTTTTTTGTTTTCCAGGAGATCAAAGAGTTTCCTAGAAAGATGCAATATCCAGTGATGGATTTCCTTGATTCAGTACAAGTTCCCCAATCTGAATCTGAAAAACCTTGTAGTTTAGCAGGAGAGTTTGCAGCATAGAATAAGCCTCTGCCAGGTGTTCCTTTTAAGAATCTAAGCACTCTATGTGCTGCCATGAGATGGATATCACTTGGTTTGTCCACAAACTGGCTGAGTTGTTGCACAGCATAGGATATATCTGGTCTTGTGTTAGTTAGATATAGAAGTTTCCCCACAAGTCTTCTATAATGCTCAGGATTAGCAATTTGCTTCCCATCAGTAGTGTTCAATTTTTGACCTGTGGTGAAAGGAGTTTTGGCAGGTTTAGCTTCTAGAAATCCATTCTCCTTCAAGATGTCTAGAGTGTATTTTCTTTGACACAGATTGATGCCTTTAGAACTCCTGGTAGCTTCAATTCCCAGAAAATAGTGTAGCTGTCCAAGATCTTTTATTTTGAAGGAAAGATCCAGGAACTTCTTTAGCTTTGTGATCTGTGTTGAATCTGTACCAGCTATCAAGATATCATCCACATATACTAGTAATGCTGTAAAAGATGTACCTGATCTCTTTGTGAACAAGGAAGGATCAGCAGTAGACTGGCAGAAGCCAACAGTTAGAAGGGCATGAGTGAGTTTTGCATTCCACTGTTTGCTGGCCTGCTTGAGACCATACAGTGACCTGAGCAACTCGCACACCTGATTAGGTCTATCACTTACAAAGCCTGGTGGAAGAACCATATAAACCTCTTCCTGCAAATCCCCATGAAGGAATGCATTATTGATGTCAAGCTGTTGGATTTCCCAATTCAAAGCCACAGCCACTGCTAAAAAGGTTCTTATGGTTGTCATTCTTGCCACAGGGGAGAAAGTTTCAGTGTAATCAACCCCCATTTGTTGAGTATATCCTTTTGCCACCAGTCTAGATTTATACCTCTCAATAGACCCATCTGCATTATGCTTGATTTTATAGATCCACCTGCACCCAATAGGCACTTTTCCATCAGGTAAGTCTGTTAGGATCCAAGTATTGTTTTGAACAAGGGCTTCAATTTCAGATTTCATGGCCTTTTTCCATTCATCCTTTTTTACAGCTTCAGTATAGGACTGGGGTTCAGAAGGAGTTGAGACAGTAAAAACTATGGACAAAGAGGGATCAAAACTGGTGTATTTGTGAATAGGATATGGAGAAGTCTTTTTGCCTGAGCAATCAGCATATAGGTGTTGACAATAATAGTCATGTAATCTGAGGGGTGCACTCTTTGTCCTAGAAGATCTCCTGATGAATTGACTGTCATTGTGAATTGGAGAGCTATGACCATCTGATGGTTCAGCATCATTCTGTTGATCTGCTATAGTGTGGGTATTAGAATCTGAGGGATCAACTCCTGTTTCATTGAGCACCTCATTTTCAAAATCAGGATCAACTGTGAAGTCTTCATTGCTTTCATCATTTTGGTTACTGATGTGGTCTTCTTGCTCAGGTCTTAAAGGAGGATACTCACTGTCAGCATGTGTGGGGACCAAGGGTAATGAAGGATTAAACATCACATCCTTTGTGGATTGTGGCTTTGTAGAGGCTGCCTCTTTGAATGGATAAATCTGCTCATGAAATTTAACATCTCTAGACACCAAAACAGAATTGTCAGCTATATCATATAAAATATAACCTTTTGTGTGAGCTGGATATCCCAGAAATATGCATTTTCTTGCCCTTGGTTGAAACTTGGTTCTTGTATGTGGCAGTGTGGCACCAAAACAAAGACAACCAAAGGATTTGAGTTGACTATAATCAACATGTTTTCCAATCATCAATTCAAATGGAATATTTCCATCAAGGACTTCAGTTGGAAGTCTATTTATGAGATATATGGCATGTAACACACAATGACCCCAAAACTTTGTAGGCAAACCAGATTGGAATTTCAGTGCCCTAGCCACATTCAACACATGTTGGTGTTTCCTTTCTGCTATACCATTCTGTTGTGGAGTGTACACACATGACTTTTGATGGATAATTCCTTTATCATTAAGGAAAGTAGGCATTATAAATTCAGTACCATTATCTGTTCTAATGGCCTTAATACTTGCAGAGAATTGATTTTGAACATAACTATAGAAGTTTTTGAAGATGTTCTTAACCTCTGACTTACTCTTCATTAGGTGCAGCCAGGTAAACCTACTGAAATCATCAATTATGTTCAAAAAATAATGTTCACCTTTAAGTGAGGCATCAGCAAATGGACCCCACACATCCATATGCAAGAGATCAAAAGGTTTCTGAGCCCTGGAACTGCTAACAGGAAAAACTGACCTTTTATGCTTTGCATAGTGACAAATCTCACAGACCTTGTCAACAGTTCTAGCAGGAAAAGTAATGTTTATTCCTTTCAAGAATGGGATCTTATTAACAGGATAGTGCCCTAGTCTATCATGCCATACATCAATGTTAATGCTATTACACTGTGATCTTACTTCATTATCAGGCACTTGTTTTCTCAATCTGACAGGGGGTCTAGCAATCAAGTAAAGTCCATCCTCTTCCTTAGCAAAACCATCCACTCTTCCAAGAGGTCCCTGAATATCACAGTAATCAGGTCTTATAATGACTTTACATTCTGCCTGTTTGGTCAGTTTGCTTGCAGACACTATATTGAAAGTAAAAGTTGGAATGCACAATACATTTTGCAATAAGATATTTTTGTCCAATTTCACCTTCCCTATATGAGTGACTTCAGCAGTTTTTCCATTAGGCATTTTAACAGAAATTTCAGAGACTTGATAGCTGCTTTCAAGATATTCTAATGAACATGTAATATGATCTGTGGCACCAGAATCCAGTATCCACACATCAAAGGAATTTTGAAAGGCATTGAT